AAGCTTTAAGAATGATCTTCTGTCGGAACTACTAGTAGTAGCGAATAAAAGTCATCAAACGTTCTTCAATATTTAACCTACTAGCTACAAGCATTCAGTAGGTGGTAATTGCCAACGCCGGATAATTTTCGTATCAAACTACCTGTTCTCATCCTCATTCTATTCTTATCCTTACAGCGTATGCGAATAGGTTGTGGAACGATGTTTTTGATCATTTTCTGGTTCCTTTCTTTTCTACTTTTAGGTTCTCATTTTGGGAGCAGGAGAATGTCGAAGTCTAGAGATGGGAGTGGCGGGAAAGAATTACGAATCACATGTCAATCGGAGCCGAGGATGGACTAATGAATGCATCGGGTACCATATCAACGGAAATATTTTCGACGCTTTTACCGCAAACTCAATCATTGAAATTGAAGGTGCACAAGACAAATATGTAACACATACGAATCGTAAAGAATGTAATATTTGCAAAAGCGAGCTGTGCTTTTGAAATTGCAAAATTCATGTTTGATTATCATAATTACCTATTCCCCACATTGCTTCTTAATCTTTTTGTAACAAATGGCCAAATTAATCGCTACTGTACCAGAACAGCTAGTAATTATCAAATGCATTTGTGCCGTACTAATCTCAAGCAATTTACAATTCTCTACCGAGGTCCTAAAATTTGGAACTCCCTTCCTGTTTCAGTGACTCTACAAGTCTTCTTAGTTTTATGACGAAGATGCAATAGTTTTTACTCAAAAAATCACTGAATTAGCCAAGCCGCACATTCGCAGCTCTTATTTTTTTCAATATATTACTGTAAGTGGTAGCCTTTCCCACAAGCCCAGAGGCTTCATGAGGTCTCCTCGCCTTCCAATTGTAATGCTGATCATTAATTTTTTTGAATTGTCACAAAGGCAAATAAAATAATGATCATGATGATAATAATGATGATGATATGCTTGAAATATATTTCTTTTTTCCTTTAAGTGGATGACATTGTACTGATGCAAATCAACAGTTTATTTGGACATAACTATTGTTCCTTGTCAATTATCGGCGGGCCCAAAGTGGTTTTAGTTCTTTAACTGTACTCAGCCTTGAAGTAGTTATTTTCATTTCAGATGCTATGGCTGATCGAGGCGATGTGATTGGTTGCATGGTGATGTTTGAAATGGCTGGAAATGGAGAAGTCCCTATTTTGTTTACTCTAAATGGCAAACAGATCACTCAAGTAACCATTTCAACCAATTTTGACGATAAGGAATCACTGTTGTTTCCATTCGTTAGTATGGGACACAAAGGAGTAACGGTGTCAGCTAAGGTTAGTTTTATCTTGTAAAAGAGTGGCTCTTACTTCTCATAGCTGATAATAGCCTAAGATTCACAGGCTAAGCGTCACATATGATACACGGGTATCGTGGCATATTGCATTCTTGGTGGTATTTTGATGGAAACCTGATCCTATCCCAATCTTTGTTGAGGTCGATCTGCTTGACAACACTACTAATGGGCACTACCAGGCATCACTCTAAGCTGAGCTCTATAAAGGACATGCGTGACTCTCAGCCAATCTGAATCACTTTATTGACACGTCTATTCAATGATCAGTTTAACTGGATCACAAGAATGGACCATTAACAACCCATCTCATCTTTTTCACCCATAATTTTTAGATGCGGCCCGGTGGAGGCGTTAGTAGGTTAACAATGCCAGTTATGTGGGACAGAATGACTTCCACCAGTTCACATGGAATAGTTTCTAGACAAGAAAATGAGAAAGCTGCAGTTTTTCATGATCTGGAATACGCTGAAACCAAGTTTCGAAGAGTCCGGGACGACATGTTAGACAACGTGAGGATGAATTTCAGAAGAATCGAAGACGTCTTTAATGGATGGAATAAAGAATGCATGCTGATGAACGACTCGTCTGAAAAGGGGCCAGCCCTTCGGAGGAAGATAAAAGAAACTTTAGAAGGATTAAAGGAGGTAGATGAGCTTGGAAAACATCTCAATAGAAAGTTCGACCAAGTTTTGAACACCGGAGGACATTACAGCTGAGGCAGGTTGACCTGAGACAATAACTGGAATTTTTTTAACCCCTTTTACGGAGGTTCAAATAGATTCCTTTACTTAATTTTCCAACAATCAATTCAAAAGTTGATCGAAAAAACCGAATTTTTCGAGTCATTCCTTAAAAATGGTATCAGAAATGCTTATTAAATAAAGTGTGGAAGCGACAATCCATTGAAAGATTGGTGTTTGAAAATAAAAGCACTTTGATCGACTTGGTTAAAGTTGCGAGGTAATAACCTTGCATGATTGTGTGGATGACGGTGAAAACAGTTTACGGTGTAAAATTATTGAATTGCCTTCAATACGAATAGACGGTTTACTGTTGGTCAATGCAATAAAGCGCAACTTAAACTTTTGTTAAGTGAATATGGTTTGTCAAAAGTACCAAAAACTTACGGGAAAACGGCAAAATTTCAGGCCAAGAAATGTATAAAGGGTTTGACTCACGTAACCAGCGGCCAAATTTGTTGGTGGGAGTAAAAGAAAAGACTAATCTTCTGGAGCATAGGTTTGCACCACTAATATAGCGCCGATTTTTATGGTTCTGCATTGCCAGTAATATATTATGTCCGGCTTGAAGTCACAGGCAAACTATCTATAAGAGAGCTGAAAATTTCCCGTTTTTCCATCTGGAATAAGAATTTTGTGAATTTAAACTTAAATTCTGCTCCGGAAGAGAAGATGGCAGCAGAAAACGACAGGTGCATTTGCTCCCTTCTCACGCATTCCAGTCGAAAGAGTAGTTCAACTATAAAATCCTTATCACCGAGACAATTTCCTTACTGCTCTTCGCGGTTGTGATCGAAGTCCAGTTTTTTAGAGTTTTCATGAAGTAAGACTTAAACTTAATAGTAGAACAGTCAGTCAAATCAAATTTAATTTAAAGCGGTTGGAAAAAGACATTATTGCACTAAACATACATCTAATTGAGTGTCCTATTATGTGACCGGTTGGATATTCCATGGTATACCACTCGAAAGCGTTGCACAACTTGTTTATATACTGGAGGACGCAAAATACGTATGGCACCTGTATGCGTTAAACAGGGCCTATACAAATATGCATTGCTTTAGAAAGTGTAATAAAGTGTAACAACAGAGAGCTGACATTTTCCTCCTTCAAAGTGTTGCATTCTACCAGACGAAAAGGTCATCGCAAACTGTCTTTTAGGTCATCGCACTTGATATAGTTTTGAATTGCAAATTGATTTCTTTCTCTCAGGGGGTTATCAGGTCGAGTTCACACGCTATTGTATATTGATATTAGACATTACTGTCAGTATCTCCTATCCAATTGGCTGAAATCCAATCGGCACATAGTTGTGACTTCCATAGCCAAATAAGCTGGAAGTATGGGTTCAAAACCCGTCGAAACCTAAAGTTCTCTGTCAGTATTTACGAGTCAGAAGATACATTTAATATATTTGTGTTAATAGTTAGTAGGACATGTGTCAATCATACAAATGCGATCTGAGGAAGATATTATCCACGACCAAACTTCAAAAACAAAATCTTGATACATAGAGATTTTTTACTTCATAAACTTAGCTTAACTTTCTTAAATCCCTTCATTACCAAAAAAAAAAAGTGCGCAGCGAAGCAAAAAAAAGAATAAAAATTCTATTCCTTACCGAGGACGTCAATATCGGGCTCATATGTCTTGCATATTACACCCACTTCTTGGCTTTTATAGACATTCATTGTACAGACCTTGTTGAAAAGTCTCCTCACTTCCTGTACAACGAACGTTAAACATGTAGACCGGTCCAGACCCTTCTCCAAAACGGAGGATATTTCAAGGCCGTGACGTTACCTGGGACGCCAAGCAGTCTGCATACCACTTCAGCCTTCGTTTTTTCCCAAGGTCCAGTGACGCGTCCCCAGACTCCATGAGAACAATTCTCAACACGCCCGGCATAGATCACGTTGAGCCCAGATAAACGGATTTGAAAATCTGTTGAATTTAATTTAAGTTTTTCAGTCGATAGGAGAAAAACTAATGATTTACTTTTATGCGCTAAGATCTGAGATAAAACGATCTTGTGCTCTGGGTCTATTTCGGTTTACTACAGGACTTTGTGCGCTCTAAGACCCTCTGAGTCCCACATCGCACACTTAACTAAAGCCTAAAGGGCCAACACTCGAAACTGACGCCTAAAGGGCCAACACTCGAAACTAACGCCTAAGGGGCTGACACTCAAAACCGACGCCCGAACGGCCAGTGCTAAAAACGTTAGCTTTAGAAGCTCGTTAGCGAGGCCAATTTTAATTATCAACTCGGTTAATAAAACAATTAACCCAGTTTGTTTTCCTGTGTTTCAGCTGAATGGATATTTGTCACGCTCGGCCTATCTACTATTTCGCGAGGTCACAAACAACGGCTTTAATATGAAATGGAAATAACATTTATATGTTAACTATTAACTGGATAGTCTTAACAAAACTATCTTGGATACAAAATCACTGAAATCGTAAACAAGCTGAATGTGTGTGTCACTCGCGATTATCAGTATATGTACCCACGAAAGTTTTTCTTTGGAACTGAGATGTACAATGGTTTTTTCCAATTTCTAAGCGAAACCAATCTTGGTGGGTGTTATCGAGCCCTGCTCGAAAGTGGATGAGGGGAGTGGGACCTCTAGGAACGAGATTGAAAAAGGTAGTAGCTGATGCTGTAAGTTTGCGCACTTCGTTCACTAATCTGTCAGTCCATGTAGATACACCAGCATTTACCAACAAGAAACACATGCAGAAACTTAGTGTTTAACTTTTTTTCACCTTGGTGTAAAATGAAGTGTTTGATTTAAAAACTTCTTCATAATACCTTGAGTGGAAATAATGTTTTGGGACGTTCAAAACTGTCTTAAAATCGAGGAATATAGATAATATCAGTTTGTGTAGAAGAAATACACAAAAAAGCTCTTTTTAATTGAGTGTCCTATTACAAAGATAAATGAAACCACAACAGGCTAACAGAACCAAAACATACCATAAGAGCCAATTAGTGCTCAAAGTACTTTAATTACTCTGCCACAAGAGTGAAAAAAACTAAAAAAGCCGGGATTGATTTTAGATTTGAATCTGATTGGTCGAGAGGATGGCGTGACACCAATCACAAAGCAGAATTATGCAAAAATAGAGCAGTCCTGGATTACTTTAGATCCTTCCGTTTCATTCACTCTGAAAAGTTTGCTAAGGAAATCTAAACTCCTAATGATTACAAGACAAATCCAGGCTCTTATTTGAACTCGGTGTTTACTTTGGAAGTAATATTAGCCTTACGGAATGAGAATTTTTAGGAGATAAAAAGCTACCGTGAGGTTTGGACAATTCAAATGCCTGAAACCTCAAGAAGTTTTCCCATTTACGCCGGAAGACTTTGAACTTGGGCATCCCTACTAATTATGGTATATAACTACTAAGAGACGCAGAAGGCGTATATTACGTTAAGCAGGGCCTATGTACAAAAACGCATTGGTCGAGAAAGCGTAATAAAAGAGAGTTCACACTACTAACTTCTCTCTCCGTGTTCTAATGAATTCAAACTAGGCCTTCGACCATACCAAGTGGTTTTTAGACGTTACGTGTTTGGTTTTCCTGGAAATAGACACGCGCGGGAACCCAGGTGAACAAATTTTGCAACACAATACTTGTTTGCTCTGAGAATAAAGCAAATTTTTCTGAGTCTCCTCTTTTCAGATCCCTCCGTATTTTTCTGCTCTGTCATGTTAATCGATCTTTATAAGTCAGACGCTTGAGGACTTTAGGAATGAGAAATATCTCAGTGCCTGTATGGTGACAGAGACATGTATTCGTTGGGATTCGGTCCTCCATCAGCTGAGATATTTCGTGAGGCAGTGCTGTTGTTTTCCTTTGATAAAGCCATGTAATGCTCTCCGGCCCCTGTTGTGGCCCCCTTTGAACCCTCCATGGCTCCTCTCGCTTTTAAACCGCCATTTCCCTGGTTGGCTTTCATACGAGCAGCTTTCGGATTCATTCTTGCCGCCTTATGTGGTGGTGGAATGGGTGGAAGACGCCGAGAGGTGGCCGTTTCATGGAAAGTGGGAGCTACTGCATATAAGGGGTTAGTATTGTCCCTCTCTGGCATTGAACTGTTATTTGTTCCTGTTCCCAGGTCGATTTCTTCAAAGCGGTAGGTTTCCTCTTTATCACTTCTGTAGGCCATGTTGCTGAAGGATGCCTGTTGCTCTCTAGGTATAAGTTTAGAAAGCTTTCGATTTTGGAAGATAAGGTAAACAACTGCAGCAATAAGAAGGAACACAAGAGATGCAAGAATTGATAATGTTATGGTATTAGTAGTCTCGGAGGTTGTACTTCCGTTCTGCGAGGACCCATGCCGGTCATCTGTAGAGCAAAAATAATTTCAAGGTAAACTTGATGAAAAAGGACGCATCCAAGGCGTCCCAGATGGCGTCCGTTTTTAACAAAGTTCGAGGTGTTTGAAAATGTAAAAATCCACAGCTCGAGCCTTTTGATACACCTCATCAATAGGGGAAACAAGTTATATCAATGTATCCTTACCAATATCACGTTTACAATTTTCTTTGTCACAGCCTAACAAATTAATGATGACTTTGAGAAGAAATGAAAAAAAAAACAAACAAACAAACACATAAAAAAGCTAAAGCTCCCCACCAGTCTGTTAAGAAGCTGAAATCTCTACTTCACTAGACACACAGGGGAAATGAGTTTCATTTTCGTGGCAAAATGGATTGTTTGGGCAAAGGTGGCTCTCACACGGCTTCATCGCTACAAAGTAGCAAAACAAAAATTTAACACCTCCAATTCAAAACAAGGGAGGAATTCAGCTCTCTTATAAACCTTATCATATCTTATTTGTTGTGACACAAATTGCATAAGCATAAATTTATTGGTCGCCAGTTAGAACTTAGGGCTCAACACGTACACAATTACTTTCAAACAACGATTTCAATTTAACGAGGAAAGGAAAGAAAATTAAAAACAGAACCTTCACAATTGAAAGAGCAATAATCGCAAGACTCTAAGAAATTATGTGGTAACTAATGACAAAACTGAGTTTATAGTGCAGCAGTCACGAGTTTTGGTGGAATATCACCTAGCCTCGCTTTCAGGGATCATCATAACATGTTCCACAAGTTCGTACCACTTTTTCCAGACGGGACATAACTCCATAGTTCTATTGATTTGCAACAACAGAAGAAAACATAAATAAACTTACTGATGGTAATTCGCTCCTCGCAACGATGCCCCGAGAGCCCATCGGGACACGAGCAGATATATGAAGATTCATTGCCAAAACATTTTCCACCATTCATACATGGAGAACTCTGACATGGATTAGATATTGCTACAGGAATAAGACGAACCAAAAAGATAATGAAGTGATCACTTTGGTCTGTATGGTATGAAAGTAATAATAGTTCGTACAGATACTTCCTGAGATGATGCTACTTTTTGTACATCTAGAGTGTCAGGAAAAAAATATATACACATTAGATTTTTGAACTGATCAGCGGAAATTAATAAGTTCTGATACTCAAACAAGGTAAATCACATCCAAACCCTCAAAGCAGAGAAAGGCGGGTGGACTAGATTTCCTTTGCATCTGGCATGCGGTGAGCTTTGAAAAGATTATGCTCAACCCTCCAGAATCTTTCAAAATCAAAGTTTTGAACTCAATTGTATTATTCCCCTTTCCCCTTGATAAGGTACATGATATACGAATGTAGATCCGTTTAATCAGTTCGTGTCATTCCAAACACAATCTACTTGCTGGTAGTTATCTTTCACGTAAACAGCTTGAAACTGTAATGTAGCTTGTTCAAATTCCGTTTTCATGCTCGCTGTGTTTGTTATAAACAATTATCCAAAACTTGTAAGAAGCTGTGATCTTATAAAATAGTTTTGATAGCTGTTTCACTCACATTTTTCACAATGGATTCCTATGAATCCTTCTGTGCAGTTGCAAATAGCACCACCTCCAGTATCAATGCAGGTTCCTTGATGTTGACACTTGACTTCATAACATTTTGAAGAGTTATCTAGTCAAATAAAAGCGGAAAATAGAGAATATTCTTGAAGATCTTTAGTGTGTTCATTGAAAGAGGAAATCAGATGCTGCTTTAGGCAATAAAAATCAGTTTGCAAAGATATAAGTGTCGTGAAAACCCCACTATCTATTTAAAAGGACATTAATTCCATTAGATCCCCCCTACCTCTCGTCTATCGTAATGAAATACTTTATATTAACTACTTATTTATTTCTATATGTCTTTTTTGTGTGTGAATGGAATAGCATGTTTGTAGTACGAGATTGGACCAACCGCATTATTGTGGGAGGAATGGAAGGAAAATCCACAAAAGAGGAGACCAAAAATTGTATACAGCTCAATAATCCCCGTGTTTTTTGTGTCGGTTTTGCTTTGTTTGTTTGTTTGTTTTTTCGTCCTGCGTGTTTCGAGTGTTTTTGCATTCCTTTGCCTCACTTAAGTCAGGAAAAAAGTAAGGCTGTTTCATCATTGGGATACGTTTGTCTTAATGCAAATTTGAATTAGACTCTGAGGAGGTCTTTTTATGAAAATTTATTAACACCAGCGTGTGTCCAAAAAGTAGATAGGTCACCTGCTTCATATGGTACTTCGCATAATGCTGTTGCAGCCTCTGATCCACTGGAAGGGTAACCATACAAATCTTTTGTACATTCTCCAAGATTGGTTTCGTTGCCAAAACATCTCAAATTCCTGAACCATTCCAGCCCTGTGCTCGAACCAAACTGATTATTATAACCAAATGAAAGGCTTGCAGAGTACCCCAACTGGCGGCATACCACGTGAGCAGCATTGAGGTCCCATCCCCAGTTATCTACTGTTCCCCAGTACCCCAGGTAAAACACTTCCACTCGTCCAGCATTACTAATTGGAGAACCAGCGAGCCTCACATTCAACACTAAAAATTAAAAAATAAGTTGTCATGATAGTTCAGGTTCCAACTCCACCAGTAAGATATATGCTGTGGTTGAATTTTAGCCTCGATCTAAGATTTTTCTTTTCAATCGTTGTACATTATAGTTATGTACAGAGTGGACACAACTCAACCGATTTGTTTTTACCCAACACGTTTCTGTTCCCTTTTACTTACCAAATTTCAGTTTTTGTAGAAAATCTTCTCACAAAATTTGTGAGTCAGCAAATATCCCATTCACTTTAAACCCTACCCCTCTATAGCTACTTTTTGTCTACATATGAGTTGGCTGAGGGAAAAATTTCTATTGAGCCATTTTGCTTGTGGCTAGTTTTTAATTGCTAAAGCAGACAATGGTAGACAGGTTTTGTTCGTGGTCCTGGGAAATCCAAATGAATGACACTTCTTTACCCATTAGGTTAGAGACCACCTTGGTACTCATTTCCTAAGAAAATTTCACCAGCCAATGCGCCGCTTTGAAAGCGAAATCTGTGCACGTTCTACAGCCCAACATTTTCAAAAGTACTCAGGTGAGTACAACTATTTAGCAATCAAAAGGCATCTAGAAGAACTTGTCCACTGTTTAATAACGACTTTAATCTAACGGCTTGACTGTGCTCTGCATGTTAACAAATCTAGAGCACGAAAGAGGTTTTTTCGACGACGTCTCGTATTTCTCCCCTTTTCTAATTTGACACTTTTGCCTGAAAGTAAAATGTTCACGCTGTGGCTCATAAAACCAAAGATTTAGAAAACATTTTCGTTTGTTAACTGACGACAGTCGAATTTTAGGAAAAATGAATGAAGATTTCTCGGGATGAAAAAAGTCGCAGCTGAACTAGTAAATCATAAAAATGTCTTGCCTTCTTTGCTTCTATCCACGAAGTCGCAAGTTGGAAGTGTTGTTAAAGTTATGCCAGTTTGCCTATCTTTTTCATCATCCCTGTTTTGTAACACGAAACTGTAGATACTATACTGAGGCTAGCGTTAAAGATTATTTCAAAAATGGCTTTATCCTTTAACATAACGACCACGTACCACTTACTCTGTGGTGGGTTGAAGACCTCATTCCGTATTTCATTCCGCCATTATCACCAAAAACGAAATATTCTTTCAGCTGCAAAACTTTTTGATGAACGTTGCATAAATAATATCTGGACGTTGTAAATAGGATCCACGCAGACCGTTTTTGTCCCACGTCGTCACTGCACAGTCTGAGATGTTCGATTCATTCCCATTACAATGTATCCTCCATATCCACAATGGACCTTTCAATCGTCCGAAAGCTGCGTATTGGAAAATCTCATCGGCGCTATGATATCCCAGCTGACGACACACCACATGACCTGCATTAATATCAAAGTAACCATAGCCAAGTACTCCTCCCCAGACTCCGTAATACATCACCTCGATTGTACCAGCAACACTGGAATTGGACCCAGTCAAGCGAACCTTGAAGTCTGAAAAACATTTTTGAAATCATGGATACTTTTCATCATTTTCGCGTCAACCTCCCTTTAACTTATCTCAACGATACACTGTGTCTTAAGCATAATGATAGTTCAAAAAAAGGTACGTAAACACTTCATTAGATGTTATCCGACCTTGGTCATTGAAGCTGGAATTCTCGGATAGAAAGGTACCCCCTCCCAGAGAGGTCCGAAACGCCTTAAACAAAAGAAATGAAAACAAAAGTCCCAGCGCATAGTTTCAAACTCTAATATTATACTTATAGTTATAGCTCTAATACATAACTAACAGACCTCGCCAACCGCTAAAAAAAAAATTCCTACTAGTTTGAAAGTGATTGAGTAAGCCGTTATCCAATCTGCTCAGAAATAAGGTAATAACTCACCTCTGGCTTGTGTAGCACTTGGTTTGCAAATGACACTGAGATCTTCGGCACGACCAGAGATCGTTAATTGAAGCTGGCTGGAATGAGTGCAACTTTGTAGATTACTCTCGTCTCCAAGGCAATGTATATCCCTGGCTCTATACCACTGAGGGCCAGTTCCCGGTCCAAACACAGCCCAGCCAACTGCAAGGATACTGTCAGAGAAGTTTAACTGTCTGCATATTACTCTATCCAAACTGGCCCATTGTATGTAATAGTAATGAGAATAAAGAGTCCCCCAAATCCCGTGAATTCGAAGATCTATCCTACCAGCGTGCCTAACAGCAGAATTTGTAAGACGTACATCAAATCCTAGTTGAGATATAAAGAATTCATTGTCGATTATGACGAAAAAAAAAAGGATCTTTTACACTGTGTCTTACTTGGGGATCATGTTCAGTATACTCTATCGTCCGCCGTGGACCAACAGCATGTGCTCGACACGTCGCGATTCATACGTGGAGTGACTACATCGTCAAATACTAGGTAGAAGCAACTGGTTTCCATGCAATTTTCTAGTCCCTTAATGTTTATCATGATCTCAGCTAAGTGTGTGCAAAATTGATATTTACCTAAATCAGCACCACCATTGCTGCAGATAACATTTGCACAATAAGAACTTGACCAGGTATAGCGAACAAATTCCCAAGCACATTGGTCTATCGCTGATTCATTTCCATAACACCCGAAGTTTTGAAAGAAGATTGGCAAAGTAATCGAGCAAAATAGTTTTTCTCCTGCCAATAATGCTTTTGTGAATCCCAGTTGTCGGCAGACAACTGTAGCGTCTTTGATATCCCAGCCGGAGAAGTAAATTGAACCCCACTTTCCTGCATAATAAACCTCAACTCTTCCCATATTTGGCGAAGGAGATCCACGTAGCCTAACCAGCATTCCTAAGTGTAAAAAAATGAAATAAAAATTATATCGACCGTTGATCAAAGTACAGTCGCCTTTATTTAAAGGTCGACACCGTTCTAAGTCTCAGGTTTTCATTTCTCTTGCAGAAAGCGAAGAAGTGTCTTTCGTTCCTTCGTGGGGGAGAAACTCTTATTGGGAGAACAGGTCTACTAAAATGATTAAAGCGGAGCTCGCAGTTTTTTTTTCTCGCACGTCTCAACGCCTTGCCCCGGCCAGGGCTGGAACCCAGGTCGTCCGACTCTGAGCGTATAGGAGGGTCTCACTTGAATTTACAATTCTTCCTCTCATTTGCATACAATTGGGGGTCACGTGACACTTAAAAGTTTGAAAGATTATACTTTCTGAGGCATTCAATGGAAACACAACATAAAATCTGTATAATCAAGTTATGGTATGAGCCAATTCTGTGGCTTTTGGTATATTTATGCGACTTCAGTGTATGCAAATGCAAACATTTCAACCCAGAAATAAAAGCTATGCGACCTCTTTACGAGGCAGCTTTGAGTGAACAAGATTTAACAATTACATGGACTTGTGGGAAAGTGGCTCGTTGACACCCACACCTATGGTAAAACTAAAAATCATGACAGGTATAAACTTAAAGAACCATATTTTTTAGTACCAGTATATCGAGAGGCAAACTAAAACTACAAAGTTTCCGTGTCCGGTTAGTGTTCTCTAATCCTCCATTCATAAGGCTATCAAGTCTACCACAAGTTGTATTTTCATAATTCGGTTTCTCGCCTGCTATATCGATAAGCTATGCTAAGCAAAGCTGAAAGGCATAGGTAGCACGCAAACATTAACGACACAAACATTGCCATGCTTTTGAAGATATCTGAAAAAACAAAGCTACAAACCACTTACCATTCGTGTGGGACAAATTCTTGCATATGACACTTGCAACGTTCCGTGGATTTTGTGATTCGGACTTTTTACCAATCCCATCATGAGAACAGCTCATTATGTTAGCTTCACTTCCAGAGCACTGAAGATTAGTAATCCACACAGGACCGCTGACCGGCCCATACACACCGTTTGCCAAAGCTACTTCTGCACCAGCTTGGTAACCAAGCTGGCGACACACCACAGTGGCGTCGTTTATATCCCAGTTTGTTCCGCTGATTGTTCCCCAGATTCCTGCGTACAACACTTCTACTCGACCAGCATTAGGAATAGAGGATCCTTGAAGGCGAATTGAAATATCTAAAACGAACCAATAAAACATAACCATCAGCGTATCTCGAGAAAACAAATTGAACAGCGGATATGTAACGAATCTAAGAAAATTAACGACACTTTCTGTTTCTGTCATCTTCAGTTCTAATTTTACAAAGTACAAAGTTGAATTTAAACGGTCTTTAGCGCGGATTAATTTCAAATGTTCCTTCGATTGTTTGACGATGGCGCTTCGTAAGAGTTGTTTTCGGATAGCTTTGGTGTCGTGTTGACTTGCGTGGGGTGAACTGAAACAGAGAAAGCGTTGCTAAGCGTTATGGTGACAACATAGATAGTAAGTTGGTATTTTCAACCTTTAAAATCGGTAATATGTTTGGTGTGAAAGACCCTATCCCTCGTGGGCTACGTAGTGTGGTTTACAAGATTTTATGTGCGGACTGTATTGCCTGCTATGTCGGCGAAACCTCCCGGCATTTATCAACACGTGTGCGTGAGCACCTGGTCAGTGACAGGACCTCTCACATTTTCAAACATTTGCATAATTCTCCACAATGTCGCACTCCATGTTCTGATGAGTATTTTAGCATCTTAGATCACGCTTCCACAACTTTCCAACCTAAAATCACAAAGCTATCCACATTCAATGGGAGCAACTCACACTTAATCATCAACTTTATCATGTTAATTTAAAACTTTCCTTGTAATTAATATTGCACACATAGTTCTGTTAATTTTGTTTGTTTTGTCCAATCAGAGTTTTGTTATACGCTTTAAATTCAACTTAGTACGTTGAAAAATCAGAACTGAAGATGACAGAAGAACTGTTGAAACATGTTTTTAAAAAGTGTCGTTTATTTTCTTAAACAAGGCTATCAGTTTAAAAGAGACTTGTGCAGCGTTTGCTTGCCAAGAAAAACAAAGTACCTCATTTCAAAGAGTAGACATTGCCATCGACATTGTGTAGACATTGGAGGTAAGAATATGGCACCAAACCTTTCTGCCGTGAGGTTGGTTTTGTATTTCCCTATTGTTTGGCACTCTGCTCCTAAACTATAAAGTATTCTGATACTGGCTGCTATTTCTAAAATATTTTACAGAACTTAGTTGTGTCCGGTTCAGCGCTCAAAACATTTGGAAAGAGAAATCATTATGCATTACTGTCACTATCTCAGTTTCGATTAGGCCACAGGCACGCTCCTTTATTCTAATTGTCACATAGTTCAATGAAAGTAGTAGTAACGTCTACCGCCAAATTAACTTAACTGTCTGGGAGTTAAGGGTTCGGATCCCTTACAAACTTCATACTTTTTCCAACTTCTTTTTTTCTCAAATTTCTTAAACCACAGTCTATCTGTGAATATTCTTTGTTTGCATCCACAAGTCAGGAGAAGATTAATTTCATTTGTGTGGATAGTCGGTAGGAAATGTATCAGTAAGATTGTACTAAGATCACCAACATTATCAAAGATATACCCAAACAGCTTCTTAGGCGAGGTACTTTCCTTGATTGTTTCACTCAAAACTAATTCTAGTCGCCCATGCATCAGCTCAGTGCTATAAAATGACCTGAGTATTTTATTGTCTACAGCCAAACTCACGAATAAAATCTTAGTAAATATAGGATTTTTTATCCATGAAGTTTGTTTGACTTTCTTATATTGTACATTTTTATCACTAAAAAGGCCTTTGCAAAAAATGACCAAAGCAAGCATGAAATCCTTTCTGGACGCTTGAAATTTAGTTCAGATACTTACCGCCGACATCAGTATCAAGCTCGTGGGTCTTGCATATCACCCCCGCTTCTCTGTTTTCATAAACATAACTTTCAAGCCAGTCTCGATGTTGACATTGTTGTAAAGTCTTCTCATTTCCTTTGCAGCGTACGTAAGACATCAAGACTGGTCCGGACCCTTCTCCAAACGGTGAATAATTCAAGGCCGTGACAACACCTGGGAAGCCGAGCTGCCTGCAAACCACTTTAGCTTCTGTTCTATCCCAAGACGAAGATCCATCGATACGTCCCCAGACTCCATAAGAAAAGACCTCAACACGCCCAGCGTATGTCACATTGGAACCAGTTAAACGGATGTGAACATCTGTTAAATAGAATGTGGGTTTTTTAGTCAATGAGCAAAAACTTACGACTCAATTTTATCTCTTAAAAGCCAGAAGTAGAACAAGCTTTGTCTTGTGTACTAGCTGGCTGCTTGCTGGCCGTAGTACTGGAATTACCGGATCTCTCTACAGCCAGCGAGTGCTTTTATTGGTCATTTGATCACTCTCCTGTCTACCTATGGTAGCCCTTTACTACAGGCCCTGGCCACAGGGTGGTCGAGAAAGGAGATGCAGCAGCCCCCCTCCTCCGCAAGGCAGGGAGCACAGAAATTGTCATAAAAAAGGCTCACGATTTAATCAGAAATACTTTAAGAGCAAAATTCCAGGATAATAGTGATCGCGTAATTTTGAAAACTATTTAGCTTCTGAGTGTATATTTGATGTATCACAAAGTGTGCATATATGTAGTGCTACAAGTGCATATGTATCTTTTACAAATATAATCAAATGTTGCTTCATGTACATGTAAAAACTGTTGAACTCGCCAAATATCTATAGGATGATCCATTTCAGCTCGAAAAGTTGTTTTTTAAGCTTTTTTCCAATTGGTTGTGGCTCAGTAAACATTCCTTCGAAATTAAACTGATACCCACCAGAATAGTACAGCACAAGCCTCATGAACGTCAATGCTGACAACGAGATCATCTTGTCTGACACTTAGACCTCTTACGTTTGTGGCACCTAAAGGAGAAAAGTGTCGCTTACGTTTTCTTATTTCAAAATGTGTATGGTGCAGAAAACAATGGTGGGTTAATCAGACAGCAAAGTAAACAGCCCCACAAAACACTCTCAAAACGGACCTCATGAAAGGAAATTTCCCAAAATTACGATCCCCTGTTGTTCATTACGGGTTTTAGGATCATGATTTTGTTGTACATATGACTTAGCATCGACAACGAGCAATATGAATAACTGATAAACCTCCAGCTGTGACAAACTAGAGTGGAGATTTTGAATCTTAACAAAAGAAGAGAGAAAAGTACGGTCTAGAGAGTGTTACATATAGTTCAGTGCGAGCGAAGGAAACATCACAAGAAAATATCTTCTATGATTTCTCGAGACATGACTAAGACACCTCTGTTGTTTGCGACAAGAAAAGTGAAATCTCACAGAAAAACCTTGTCGTTTATCACAGCAAAAAATGGCATTGAAGGTCATTCACCTGAGGTAATTTCCTGTTTAAGGCATTGGAACTGGCCCCCCTTTTTTATATCAATTTCCTTGCTTTTTTGTGTTGTTACTACCCCTTTTATTTTCTCAGCTGTAATGTTTTCTTTCCTTTTCTTAACATCGTAATGAAATGCAAGTTATAGCAAAAACCCAATAATAATAATAATAATAATAATAAAGTTTGGTTGTCTGTGTCTGAGTGCGAACTGGCCATCACAAAGAGAAAGCTGACGTTCGAGCCTAAGCTCTTTATCAGAATCGTTCTGACGAAGGGCTGACGCTCGAAACGTCATTTATCGAATCTTTTTATTGAGGTCAATTCAAAGTATCAACTCAGTTGAGAATACCTTATTATCTAATAACTGAAGAGTTTAATTATGCACACAAAAAGCAAACCCGGTTTGTTTTATTATGTCTCAGATAAATAAAAATATGTCATGCTCGGTGGCATTACTGGCGCCGTCAAAACGATTTTTCACGCCATTTTTTTCATAAAAAAGTGAGTATGTCTCGAAAAACGAATTATGCGTTCACAGGGGGATTTTACAGCGGTGCAATTAGAGGGGGTAATATAGCAGATATTATCTCATGCCTTCAAGGCTAAAATCCACTAGTCATGAGTCAGAACAGGTAAACAAAGATCAAAATACAAGGAGTGCATTTTCAGGGGGGTACAAAAGCATTTTTCAATCAAGTTTTTAGAGAGGGTTTCAAACCATAATTTCCATATATTAACACAAACTTTTTAAATTGTATTATTCAGAAAGATTTTAATCAATGTTAATTCTTAATCAGAGTAAAGAGTTAGTTATTTTATCAATTTTTGTTTTTTATGGCTGATTTTTGTCATTGCTTCTTCTCTGGAACATTCGTGGTATCTGGCCTTTTTGTAGTGTCTTTTTTTGTCAATAACAGTGTCAAAGTACAATTGTGACCGTTGTTCACCGTCTCTTTATGTTATTTTTTATCCAATTTAGTTATTCTTTCTTTCAGTTCTTTTTTTCATCTTCTATTTTCACATTGTATTTCACGAGTTTTATTGGATTACAACGAACGTTTAATGGTTTTTTTCCGTATTCCTAAGAATATTCTTCAATGTAAGCATATTCAACTTTTTTAAGACTCTTTTTATCAGATGATGGAGCTGCAATAATCAATTCGATTTTTGGATTCTTGTTTTTATGTTTGTAAACCTAGCTATTTTTGTTTGACAAGTTCCATTTGAATCGTGTTTCGAGCTCTTCACAGGTTGAACCAATGCACACACTCCCGTTATTGAAAGGAACCCCTTTTATATCAATCATCAATCTATCAAAAGTGAAATATATTTTGTTTGCATTTCTCTTTTCATAATGGTTGTTGGTCAACCTTGCTTTAACATTCTCAATTGCTTTGTTAGTGAAAGAAAGAACAAGTGTTGATTTCTGTACCTTTATACTTGGATACGGTTACACAGAAGCTGGGAATGAAATTTTCTACAAATTCTTTGGCGTCAAAGTATTAATTATACCCTCTGAATTAATTGTTGGACATATCTTCGATAACAAACTCCACAGTGTTGAATATCTCTTTTTCTTTGATATTTAATGTTGCAATAACAGGCGTGCATTCCACTACAGACATTTTATTTTTTCATATATACTATTGTATTTTAAATCTACTCTCTTGTTCCTTTTTGTTTTTCACAAATCTGTCACAACATCCAGTGTTGTCTTTTATTCTTGTAGAGTGCAAGTAGCATTAATTTTTGTAGTATTTATAATTGAAATATGTTGATATCTGACCAGTTTTCAAGAATTTATCTGACATCTCATGAATCTTTATATCATATCGACAACCACTTTCAATGTATTCAAGATTCTTTCTCTTTGGGCACATTTCGTTCACTCTTTTGGATTCTAAGAAGTTATATCGTCTCTGACTGTTTGATTCAACTGGCTCGCATTGATTTGGATCTCCAAACATAAATATTTTGTTGTTGAACATTGTAAGAGCTTTATAGATCAATGTCATCCATTTATTTTGTACCATGCTGAACTCTTCAATGAATATGGTTTTGTCTTCAAGACTATTCAAATCTCTTCCTTTCCACTCACAAATGACTATCAAAAGTGAAATATATGAACATTCTCAATTGCTTTGTTAGTGAAAGAAAGAACAAGTGGGTTTTCTGTCTCTTTCACATTTTACCGAGTTTCGTAAATAGAAAGATTCATTATCTGTAACATATGCTTTTGATCTTAGATCTGTTAAATTTATCGTCTTTTTGTGATTGGAATTCATTTTGGGATTTGTTATGTATACTCCGTCTGTGTTATAGCCGTTTAGAATGCTATTGTTACCATAACATGCTTCAATCAAATGCAAGCACCTCAAAATAGCTTCTGATACAACAAAACGATTGATGCTTGTGTGATCAGGATATATTCATTCTACTTTTTGTTCTCTTATCATGAATATGCCATTGTGATGGTAAACAGGTGCATTTCTTTTATCAGACATTTCGCTCGTCCAACAACACATCAAAACAGTTTATGGCTTCGTCAAAACAAAGTCACTTGAGGGCTTTGGTGGCCATCATTGACGCTCAGATCGTATTAGCATTGGCTTAGGTGGAGACTTTGCTGCAGTTGAGGGAACTACAGGCCCACTTACAGACGCATTTCCTTGACTTGATGAAGGTGGATTTACTTCACCTGCAGGAACGGTGATCGGCAATTTATTGGACTGCAGAGATGAAGGAACAGATACCTCAGCCGGACCCTCGTTTAATGATGGTGGTGACGGCTCATTTGTGTTCCGTAGGTGAACATGGTTACGACGAACAATATCATGGGGTGTCTCGACCTCATACGATCTCTCATCCAGTCGACTTCGCACAATTCCCTTTTGCCATTCTCGCTTGCCCAACTCAAATGGTTTTATTCTTACTGTATCTCCTCTTTTCAAGGGATCCAGATCGACAGCACCTCTGTTGCAATACTGAGCTTGTCGCTACTTGCGCCGCTCAAGCTTGCCTCAGCACAGCTCGTCGTCTGTAACCGGCTGTGGCGCGAGCAAATTGGCCGTCATTAGTAGGAGGCTTCTCGTCCTTCTGTTGAAGAGACGCTGTGCTGCACTAACTTGGATACTGGCAAGCAGGATGTTGCGATAATCAAGTAAAGATAAAAGCTTCCAATCCACTCGATCTGCGCTTTCTGAGAATCTTCTTAGCTTCCTTCACTGCGCTTTCTGCTTTACCGTTACCCTGACTATGATATGGGCTGCTCGTGAGATCTTCAAAGTCCATTCTTTCGATGTGAGCCGTTATCAGTCAACAGTTGCTCAGGTATGCCGTGGCGCGCAAAATGAGCCTTTAACTTTCTGATGACACACACTGACGAGATCATTGATTTCAAATGGTCAAGCTCAAAGAAATCACTGTAATAACCTGAGGTCAGTAAGTAAGTCTTTCTTATCTTTTAGCTTTCAAACTTTCAACTTTATATTAATTGTAACTGTTTACCATATCTTTTTCTCTGTACCTTAAACCCTCAAAATTTAAAGCCAACTGGGAGTCTGGTCATTATATTGTTCCAAATTATGTGATTATATAACTTTGTTGTGTAATATATAATTGTAACATATATTTATTATAAAGATTGAATATCAAAACGATCTTGCTCAAGAACACTACGTTGATGCATGGTGTGTTTAACCTGAAATGTTCATGACCCATTCGGCACGTTCATACGAGAAATGATCTCAAGATATGCTAGTTCTAAGTTCAGTCTTGAATCTGGAAAAGAAGGATACCTTCCTGGCTGTTTAATTAGAACTGACTTGTAAATGAACCTTTCATCTTGATTTAAGCAAAGGGTTTTATAGCAGTCGTGTAAGTCTGAATTTGTACCCTCTTGCAACTAGAGAATATACTATCTTTTTTTAATTATATTTTCCTTCAGCGTCAATCGACCATTCAACACTGAGTCCAAATATCAGCAGGAAGTAGTATCGAGACCGTTTCAAGAACACCTACTAACACGGTTAGTGATCACAGCCGAAGTATAATTCATTTTCATAAATACAATAACGTGACTCCTAAATAAGTGGCACAGTTATAAGCGAGACTTACAAATTTGTGTTGCTGTATATGGTGTTAAAGGGTATCACAATTATGTCTAAACAAGTGTTTGGGATAAGATGTACACGGTTTACAATGATGTCATCAATTTCAATGGGAAGGCTAAAATGAATATAGTCGATCCTATCAACAATCAAAATCCTGCGTCTAAAAAGATGTATGACGCCGATATAAATAGATTAAATAACTCTACTATAAATCGTAACAAATACTATCATAATAACAATATTGAGCATAATAACGGAAAAACCGTTAAACTTAGATACTTATCTCACGTAAATACAGTTACGTCGGATGCTTTAAAAGTGGAGGTGAATTGATTATTCAATAAACAGGCTTTTATTAGATTTTTTTCAAAGACGGTCTCAAGGCATCTGCAACTACTTTAAATCTCAAGGTAACAAATAAATGTATTACAAACTGTTCTAGAACTTTTAATTTTGAAGAAACACGGGGTCGTAGGCATTGGTATTGGCTATAAAATTTAAGTCAAATTAAAGTTTTGTGTACAGCCTATGCATCAAATTTATTTAAGTTAAATAAATTTGATGCATAGGCTGTACACAAAACTTTAATTTGACTTAAAGTTTGTAGCCAACACCAATGCCTACACAATATTTTTAAAATATTGTATCCTTGTTTAAACTAATTCATCAGAATAAAAATGAGCTACCAGGCACAAGTATAGCTTTCACAATGATTTCCTGGTTTGAAAAAAGTCACTGCCTTCTAAAATCCTCAGTTCCTTTTCCCCAAGAGCCCAACCTCATTAAAACATTACCAACAGGAGCAATTAGCAAATTAATGGTACAGACAAGAGAGACTATTCCCACATACACCCCCCTCAATCCTGTCAGCTTATTACATGGGGTTTATATGAGACAAATTTTCCCTTTCCCTGACTAATTATTTTGTAATGGTGTTTACAAGTTGTAGAAAATGGTTGGGTTGAAATATACTGAATACAAAGGATTGCCAATAGATAGTCAAATGAAAACCTTTCACATATCAATAAAATTTATCATTGTGTTTCATGTTAACATGATGCAACAACTCTACCATCCAGTAAATTCAATTATTTGCAAACATGAGAAAACACCATCTAAAAATTTTCAATCTATTTAATATGGCCAATAACAACATCAACTCAACTTTTAAAGAAGAGAGAAAACTTGATTGATGTTTGGAACTGATTTCTGTGATGTAAAAATGAAATCCAGGTATTACATGTGTCTCAAATTTTCTTAAAGACACCCACATTATATGCAGTTACAGCAAAGGTTACCAAATTAAATAACAGAAAAAACCTCAAAAAGACGCCGTGTATTTCCAGCCAGAGGACGATCATGAAACAATAGCCAAAAGAGAAAAAAGTTTTAAAAAAATTACAGGTTCAAACACGAATTGAAAATTACTTTTCTTTTTAATTTTTACGCTAAACTGAGGAGGTTGAAACGTTTGGGAAAAACGCGGGGCAAGCAGTCATACCTGGCAACTTCAAGAGAAGATATAAGAGAAGCCCATACGATTCTGGCGTATTGTTTTACTGACTCACTGTTCACACGTGTATATTCTTCAATCGACCGGCGAAGTAGTTTACCGTCGTTTCTTTCAATTTTGGCTCATTCTCCCTAACCAGAATTATCAGTCACGCTCAATAGAATATAATTTCAACTGATGCTGACATCGCACACTTCATCTGAAGAAGAAAAGGTTTCCTATCTTCGTAAATTTGCTCAAAACATCAGGGACAACAACGAAGGTCGTGAGCTGCTTGAATATACCGCTGAATAGCATGTGTGTTGATCGTTTTGCAAGTTGTCAATTCTTCCCTCCCCTCCCCAACCCCCAGACTGCTCCCCAGATCTCCTTAATAAGAACTCTTCTAAAGCCAGTGCTGAAGAATTTTATTACAGTTTTTATCATAACGAGGAGCTAGAAAATAAACTAACAAGAGCTCCGTTTTTAGGCTTGGCTAAATCTATAGATTATCGTTCATCGATATCTGCATGTTATCTTTACTGCATAAACTGGTAATCAAGCTTTACTGGTAATCTTTCTTTAAAAACCAGCTTGTAATATATATTTCTAAAGACTTTGACTCATGACCTAAGAACAATAGCAATCTGATGACTCATGTCGTCGGGAAAGCCCTGTTGCGTTACATCATTGATTTCCTGTTTTTCCGTGAATTTCACGCAATGGAAAATGCTTTCTCTAAAATCGAAACAAGCTGTGTGTCTTTCGTGATTATCAGTTTATATACCCAAGATAGTTGCTTCCCAATAACAAAGATGTACAGTAAGCTTTTCCAATTTCTCAGTGAAACCAATCTTGCTCAAACCAGGCGCACATTAGAATAAATCGAGCAAATCTTGATAAACATTTCCGGGTCGAGAAAAAGGAATTCAACCGTTTTCCTCTCCCGGCTATGGTTCTTCATCACTGTCCGGAACCTAACTGAAAGACGGAAAAACTCCCAACCATCTTGGATGACAATCTTTTGCCAGTAAAACTTTAGTGAAATTGAACGGTTTACGTTTGGAGCTCGAGGGCATAAATCCTACCGATCTTATTGTTAATATTAACACTTCAAAAACCAAACTTTGGTCCTTACATTGAGTTTTAAGCCCAACCAAAACAATATACATCGCCCACCAATGGTAAAATGTTCACTGTTTTAGCAAACTGAAACATTCTCAGCAAGCACTGCCTAAGCATAAAATGTTATACAGAAGACTAGTTATGATACCGTACCTAAACTCTGAGCATGAATGTTTAAGCCAATACCTACATACCTCAAGAGGAAAAGATTTTCCAGGCAGGTTTGGTGTTCAAAGAACTAAATGCCTCGCACGAAAAGGTATGCGAAGAATTAATAATAATACGTAACAAAAATCCATGCAACAGACAACAATCCCATCCAAGGGCATCAACGAGACGTAACCTTTGGACTTAAGCAAAATAAAAGCAAACTCGTTCTCGAGCTCACGCTCGCTCCCCACTAATCCCTTGCGGGTAAGTGTGTTGTCGTGCCCCGCGCGCATTAGATGAGCGGAGAGTGACCTTTATGAACAAAATTGAAGGCGGAGGTGATGCAGAGAAAGCAATGCGTTCCCCCAATTGTCACCCCATGAAAATGTACGTACATTCAATAGGAAGAACCATATGCAGACCCTTTGCGCCGGTTCTTCAAACAAAGTTTAGCCGTTGTTTAACAAAATCGCGCCTTAAACCATCTTCAAGGTAGCCGAACCTTTTATCAAAACTTTCATTTTTGAGAAAAATGTCAAGGGCGCCGAAAGCTAATGGTGAAATACATTTATTTAATTAAATCAACTCTCTTCTAAAGAATCCCCATGGTCCACTGCTTACGTAAAACCGCGCACAGAAAAAGTGAGGATGTTACGGTGACACCAAGGGCAGTGTAATTATATACCATATTGGTGTTGACACGACACCAACAAGGTGTAATTAGAAAATTACACCAAGTTAGTGTTATGTAACACCAACTAAGTGTAAGCGAAGTACTGTATAACACCTTGCTGGCGTTTTTTTACACTTTCGCTATGTAAAGAAATCCCTTGGAAGGGTTCAACACCACCGGTTTGTGAAGTCACACTGAGTGGTGTAAGTGTATACAATTCAGTGTAAAATAAAACCAAACAAGTGTGAAATGTCTTAAATGCTAGGTTTTCTTTTTCAAACAGATCTGAAGTAGAATAACGGCGTATAGGCTGAGAAATCACAAAATTGTTCTCGACATCTCTTTCATATCCTTTTATAGTGAAAGTATGTCAGCTATGTGAATCTGTTCTCAGGTGGTGAAAATCGACCTTCGCCTGCTAAAAGGAGAATCTGAAAGGGGTGAATTTACTCTAGAGAGACGATTTCGAAGAAACGATGTTTAAAAGTGTGCCGTGAAGTTGTCATTTGTGTTACGTTGGCTAAGAATCTCAGGCTACAAGCAAGCTAAAATACTTGAGGTATAAGTTGACAAAAAAGCGTCCATCGATCGGTGCTGAATTTTGTAGTAAGAAACTCTACCAATGAAAACGTGTATTGGTGCGAGTTACGCCCAAATATTTATGTTATTGCAGACATAAAAAGTAGAGGTTGGAGTGTGTTGCTTTTTCATGGGGATGATCATCGTGATCACGAACCTATCAACGCTGAGGCAAACGAGTTTTAACTAACTAAGCGCCGCATCGGCTAGTCGAAAAATTTAACAAACGCCGCGGCACTTCAATGGGTAAATATACGGTAATAAAAATCTTTTGCATTTTTTAACATCGCATCATAGTACCATTGCCTGAATTAACAAATTCATAGCGTTTTTCGGAGTTTTGTTGTAGAATTCTCCACTGCGTTAAGAAAAATCCCTGCGGAGCGCTGGTTCGACAATCAATAGGACTGTATCTTTCCGATTTCTGGCGTTTATTTGCGATCCATACAGTATCCGAACTTTCTGCATTCAATCGTTCTCCAGTTTTCTGTTACAAGATAGTGATTCTATTTATCAGCTATTACAACGAAAATACACGCCTAAACTACGTGAATCCAAGATTGACATTACTTATTCGTGATTTACAAAAATCCCAAGCTATTTCCTGTCAACTTGGTTTTAACAGCTGTTTCTTATTATACGCCGATCAACACTTCTGTAATTTACACCCGCACGCAATATTTGCTGCACGAACGACACATCACGCAACGTCACAAGATGTTACAACCCAAACGCGCACGCACAATTTCCATAGGCAATTTGTTATCTAATTATTTCAGGCCATTATTATTCTGACAAGTCTGCATTACCATGTTACGCTCAATTATACACCTACATCTTAAGTAACCCAATTGTCATCAAACCTTTAGCTTAATTACTAAATTAGGAAATAAAGTATCACTCGATACGCTTACAAGATTATCACGACAAGTTTCTTATCACCCGTAGTCTTCTTGTACAATCAGAGAATAGCGATGAAGAGTTGAAAGTGACGGGTGTTGGTTTAGAGAACTCACATCGTTGTCGGACAGTTCAAACGGACACTCTAAATTTCAGCGAAGTCAATTTGCTCTGCGATCCAGGTATTTTTACGGACAGAAAACACTTTAGGAATATGAATTCAGTTATTTTTTCTTTTGATAATGTGAGGGAGTGGATGAAGAAAGAGGGATTTCAAGGATTTGCCGACGTATTCTTTGGTAAGCCGATGTTCTAGTCAGGTTTCATGAAGTTTTTACGAGGTTACCTGCTGCTGTGAAGCAGTTCCATGCTGTTGTCTTACAAGCAGAAGTAGAACATGAGGCAAACATTAGTTCTCCTTTCAAGCACTTAAATCTACTAGTTCTCTTTGAAGTTTCTTGTACGGAAAAGCCTTATCTGCTTGTCTTACAATTCTATAGAGTAGCAGGCAAAGCATTCACTATAAAAGACTGCCTTCAGCCTTTCTTTTGGCACTGCTTAACTATAGAATATGTGACTGAGACAGTTCTGTTTCCTTATTTTATTCTGTAGAATGCTCCTGAAGCAAAAAAAGTGGCCAGGGAGGCAAGGACAGGAATGCCTCCCTTCATCATATTTGAGTGGAAATTATGCTCCCTAGACAATATCTTTATCAGTGGGGAGCAGGAGCTCCTGATAAAGATAAATGGGGGGCACATAGAAGCGCTGATTACTTTTTTTATCGTTGTATTTTGTGTGTTATGTGGAGTATCCGAAAGAATGTGTAAATGTGTATCTCTTATTGCAGAGATACATTTTTAAAAATGATGATAACGCAAGACTGCCAACAAAATTATTGCAATTTTTGAATGAACTGAACTGCTAAGGCTTTATAAAAGCAATAAAAGTGAGAACAAGATAACCCCATCGCATTCAAATGTCCTCTTAGCTTTGGGGTCAATTTCACTACTAAGAGTGTTACTACAACGCATAGGGTGTTGTTTTATAACACTAGTGGAAGTACTGATTTACACCAATTGAGTGTAAAATTCATAACAGTGTAAAATCACTTCGTCTCGGTGTTGGCACAGCTGCAACGCATTTTACACCAATTCAGTGTCAAGAGACACTCTTTCAGAGTTAAAGTACACTAAAACAGTGATAAGTCAGCACCATTGTGGTGTATAGTTACACTTCAGTTACATGACATGAAAACGAATTTACACCACGTTGGTGTAAAAGAACACCGTTTCAGCGATGATGAAACACCAAAATGGTGCTCACACAGCTGCAAAAATTTGCACTTTTTTGGTATCACCATAACACCTTGACTTTTTGTGTGCGGTTTGGTTTAGACCTGGTGTAAATAACCAGCCCTCACTGTCCAACTCCTTTTACACTAGCGCAAAATAAGAAATTCGTCATTACATTTTGAGCCATATTTCGTGATGTTCAATACTACCTAAGTTGAAGGAAACGACAAAAAACTAATTCGATCAAAAAAGGTAAAAAAAAAAACCACACACACAAATTGAATAGAACAAGAGTGGTTGAGGATGGAAAAGGTTAAAACAAGTCAGAGGAAGAAGTATATGCAAGATGTACACCCCTCGACTAGGTTTTTGTATGTGCAACTGTGTCTAACGTGTAAACTGGTTGGAAAAGGTTAAAACAAGTCAGAGGAAGAAGTATATGCAAGATGTACACCCCTCGACTAGATTTTTGTATGTGCAACTGTGTCTAACGTGTAAACTGGTTGGAATTTCAGACATGGTGCGATACCAGCAGTTATTTAACGAGTTTTTTTTATGTTTTTGGATCATTTGCTTGTGTATTGATTTGATTCATCATCAGTTGTTTCCAGAGCCTTTGGGAAGGAGGAAGTGAGGTAATGGCTGATCGCATGCTTCAGAGAGAAGAGCTGCAGGCTTTTGAAGTAATTTAAAATCGTAGCTTCGCTTGCGCCCTTTATCATATCTCAACCATACATTAAAGGCGAATGGAGGGTTGGCTGTTAAAATTAAACATATTTCAAGCGTGCTCTCTCGAATCCGCCCCAGTCGTCTCCCCCTTATGCGATAAAAAGCTTCACCCACACTTACTGTTGAACGCATTCTTTAATTGTAAGGATAACTTCAAATTTCGTCTAAAAGCTAATCATTTCTACCACTGTGAGTCTGGAGAAAATCAGATTTTAAAGGTAAACTGATTTCCATGTCTAAATAACAATTAATATTATAAAATAATTCAATAGTACACGCGCTCTGATTGGCTATAAAACCATCTTACATGAGCGTATGTAAACATGGTTTTCGTTCCTCTTTCATTAGTTATTTTATAAAAGAAATGTAAAATGGTTTCCGTGTTTACATAGCCTGATGTAAACACTCGATAAGCTGGAAGCCACTCCGCTTCGCGTCGTGGTTTCCTACGCTTATCTCGTGTTCTCCCAACCTCCCGCGTGTTTACATCAGGCTATGTAAACACGGAAACCATTTTACATTTCTTCAGCGTAAACGGGCATTTTTGGTTCTTCAAAACGTACTAGTTTTTGAGAGCTCCACTTCATGAACACTGTTCGCACACAGGCTGGTTTAAGAGCTTATTTATCCGCCGAATGGAAGTTATTCTTGGTACACATTGACGGCTTCCCTTATCTATATAACTGACTATTTACTAGGCGATGACGACAGTAAACAGTGACGAAGTGCGCCGAAAATTGTGATGAACAGAACCAAAAAAACACGATCGCTGATCATGGCCGCTTTCGTCAGCGGACCATTGGCAACGTGTTTCTGGTGTTAGAGTCTCAGTGCGACAAAGCATTTCCTAATCGTGGTAACCAAAGATTAATCTCAAAGATTTTTTTCAAAACGTATTTACTTAGAAAATAAGCTAGAAAATAATGTATATTTTTATACATAAAGCCAAGTGAGGGTGTAATCAGGATGACTCGGAATTGGGTGAGTGCATACTCTGTGCGCATGACCGTCTCTGTTCAGCTGGCAACAAACCCTCATAGATATCATATCCACATTACCATCATCATTTGATGCAATGAAAGGATGAGCCTGCAGTTCATAGAAAACACAAACAGATCTGGTAAGCGAATGAATCATATTCATATAAGATTATAAAACATTTTCAACCAAACTTTTTCGTTATATTGCAACTTCAATCAAACAATTAAAACTGAACTTTACGTCGTAATAATCACAGTCAAAGTTAGGGACTACTGATGTGCGATACGTCGAGACTACGGTACCTCCTACTAATAAATCGGAGGGATATCGCCCGCGTGTTTCGCTGGAGGGGTGGGGAGGGGGACGTGCGTGTATTACTGTTCAAATCTCCATGTAAGCATGAACTTTTCATTGGCTGCTCCCTGATTACTTTAAATCGAAAGAAGTTGGCTTTGAATCACTCATCTTACTCGAAAAGGGAGGTAAAAATTTGAGAAATAAAACCTTTCAACTATTACTGACCATAGACTTCTTGCCGCTACTGTGTCGGGGTTTCGTGCATTTAACCGAAGCAAACTTTAACCACGGCTTATGGCCATGAACTGCACGGTTCAGTCGTGTGTTTCGTTCGTCAACCATGCGGGAATCACCGCGTTATGGCCGTGTCTTAATGTCTAGTTTGGGGACCAAAATATATGTCTGTGCACATGCCCGAGCAGCGGGACGAGATACTTCTCGCTTAAGCGAACTAGTCAAAATCAATAATATATTACAAACATTTCCAATGAAATTGCAATGTTATGAGAAACGTGTCAGCGCCTCCATGACTCTCCTGTTAAACGAAAAATGCATTTAAAAAATTATTTTACGCAGTGGATGCTTCATTAGCTCCGAAATAGTTCCTGTTTGATTCTTAATGTATTACCACCGCATGGAAAACGATAAAAAGACTTTTGGTAGAACACTTTTTCACCTAAACATAGTTGATCAAAATAATCCTTATCCTACGTAGGGCACTTTTTAAACCAAAGCCAAAGTTATAATAAAAGCCAATCAGAAGGGAAGAAAATATCAAAAAAGACAATGAGAACTCAGAGCTAAAAGAAGCAAACTACCCAGAGCTCGGGGGAACGCGAGTTATCGAGTACCGATAGGTTTCAGTTGTGACTCTGATCAGTGGAGAAAGTGGCGCGAGTATTATCAATTTATCACTCAGTAAAGTAAGAAAAACCAAAGCAGTTCTGGATTACCAACGACCCTATTGAAAATAGTTTTAAGCCACTTACTAATCAGATTAAGTTCAGTCTGGACAAAGAGTTCCTTCTTATTAAAAAAATAACGTCACCAGCAGGGATGATAATTCTACTAAGTTGTGTCAAAACTCAATTACAGGCAGGCTGTAGTTCTTAGCACAAGAAATGTTCGCGAAACGTTGACTTCGCATTTTTATTTTTACTTTTGATTCTTTCCTGTAAATGATAGGCGTGGAAGAGTGAAGGCATAAGGATAGAGGATTGCCTTCTCATGTACGAGGGAGAGGAAGTTTGCAAGACGTGCAAGGATCACCCAACAGCCTCACAAAAGAATCATGCTGCCAGTTATTTTGATCCTCTCACTAAAGAGTTTCCCAGTTTAGGCAAGAAATGCACCAAAACAATATGAACATGGTTTCTTGATTTTACTCATATTATGTAGCTTTGATTAGAAAGAGGAAAGAGAGTGCAAAAAGACAAAAACTTGAACCAACCATTTTATGCTAACGCTTTCAAAGAATTCCTCTAAAGTCACAAAAAGTGGTAGTGCTAAGTAGCACTGGCTTGAATGAATCAAATAATGTATCAGTTGCATGCCAACGAGAAGTCGAAAAGATGCATCAACCGCCATGAAAAATTTTGAAAGCGAATGAATAAATAAATGGATAAATGAATGCATAGAGGAAGGAATTTACTTACCATAGCAACCCTTATCTAATATAACGCGACAGAAACACACGAGGGGACCTACTAGGCAAAGATTTCCATTTTCAAGCTTTAAGAATAATCTTCTGTCGGATCTACTAGCAGAAGCGAATTAAAGTCATTAAACGTTCTTCAATATTTAACCTACTAGCTACAAGCATTCAGTAGGTGGTAACTGCCAACGCCGGATAATTTTCGTATCAAACTACCTGTTCTCATCCTCATTCTATTCTTATCCTTACAGCGTATGCGAATACGTTGTGGAACGATGTTTTTGATCATTTCTGGTTCCTTTCTTTCCTACTTTTAGGTTCTCATTTTGGGAACAGGAGAATGTCGAAGTCTAGAGATGGGAGTGGCGGGAAAGAATTACGAGTCTCATGTAAATCGATGCCGAAGACGGACTAACGAATGCATCGGGTACCATATCAACGGAAATATTTTCGAAGCTTTTACCGCAAACTCAATCATTGAAATTGAAGGCGCACAAGACAAATATGTATTACACACAAATTGTATAGAATTTAATATTTGCAAAGCGAGCTGTGCGAGCTATCACCGATTCAGACTATCGAGCCTTTTCTGCTCCTTTATTCTCCAAACTAAAGGGATTAAAGATATTTTCCGAGTCAATACCTTTGAAATCGCTATATTCGTGTTTGATTATCAAAATTACTTATTCCCCACATTGCTTCTCATTGTTCTTGTAACAAATAGCCAAATTCATTTCTATGGTACCAGAACAGTTAGCAATTATCAAACGCATGTGTGTCGTACAAATCTCAAGCAATTTACAATTCTCTACCAAAGCAGAATTATGCAAAAATAGCGCAGTCCTTAGAACCTTTACTACATTCTTGAAATATGCTGCCTACTTGAAGTTTCATTCACTCTGAATAGTTTGCAAATCAAATCTAAACCCCTAATGATTACACGACAAAACCGGGCTCTTATCTGAACTCGGTATTTACCTGGGAAGTAATATTAGCCTTACGGATTGAGAATTTTTTAGGAAATAAAAAGCTACCGTGAGGTTTGGACAATTCAAATCTCTGAAACCTCAAGAAGTTTTCCCATTTACGAATGAAGACTTTGAACTTGGGCATCCTTGCCAATAATGGTATACATATACTAAGAGACGCAAAAGGTGTATAATACGTTAAGCAGGGCCTGTGTACAAAAGCGTATTGCTCGAGAAAGCGTGATAAGGGAGAGTTCACACTACTAACTTCTCTCTCCATTCTCTGATGAATTCAAACTAGGCCTTCGATCATACTAAATGCTTTTTAGATGCTAGGTATTTGGTTTTCTTGGAAAATGTTTTGTTTGAAGGAATAGACACGCGTGGGTATACAGGCGAACAAATTTTGCAACACAATACTAGTTTTCACTAAGAAAAAGGAAATTTTTCTGAGTCTCCTCTTTTCAGATCTTTGCGTCTTTTTCTATCTTTGTCATGTTAATCGATCTTTAGAAGTGAGACGCTTGATGACTTTATGAATGAGAAATATCTCCGTGCCTGTTTGGTGACAGAGACATATATTGGTTGGGATTCGGTCCTCCATCAGCTGAGACAATTCGTGAGGCAGTGTTGTTGTTCTCCTTTGATAAAGCCATGTAATGCTCTCCGGCCCCTGTCGTGGCCCTCTTTGACCCCTCCAAGGCTCCTTCCGTTTTTAAACCGCTATTTCGCCAGTTGGCTTTCTTACGAGCAGCTTGCGGATTCATTCTTACCGCTTTATGTGGTGGTGGAATTGGTGGAAGAGCTCGAGAGGTGGCCGTTTCATGGAAAGCGGGAGCTATTTCATATAAGTGGTTAGTGTTGTCCGAGTCCCTCTTTGGCATTGAACTGTTATTAGCTCCCGTTCCCAGGTCGATTTCGTCACAGTAGTAGGTTTCCTCTTTATCGCTCCTGTAGGCCATGTTGCTAAAAGTTGCCTGTTGGTCTCTAAGTCTAACTTTAGAAAGCTTTCGATTTTGGAAGATAACGTAAACAATTACAGCAATAAGAAAGAACACAAGAGATGCAAGAATTGATAATGTTATGATAAAAGTAGTCTTTGAGATTGTACTTCCGTTCTGCGAGGACCCATCTGTGGAGCAAAAATGATATCAAAGTAAACTTGATGAAAAAGGACGCATCCAATGCATCCCAGATGGCGTTCGTTTTTAACAAAGTTCGAGGTATTTGAAATCGTAAAAATACACATTTCGTGGCCTTTGATACACTTAATGTATCCTTACCAATATCACGTTTACAATTTTCCTTGTCACAGCCTGATAAATTAATGATGAGTTTGAGAAAAAAAAAATAGACAACAGAACACATAAAAAAGCTAAAGCTCACCACTGGTCTGTAAAGAAGCTGAATTCTGTGCTTCATCAGACACACAGGAGAAATGAGTTTCATTTTCGTGGCAAAATGCATTGTTTGGGCACGGGTGGCTCTGGCACGGTTTCATGGCTGCAAAGTAGCAAAACGAAAAAATCAACACCTCCAATTCGAAACATGGCAGGAATTCAGCCCTCTAATAAACTTTATCATATCTTATTTGCAAGTTGCATAAGCATAACTTTATTTGGTCGCTAGTTAGAACTTAGGGCTCAACATGGATACAATTATTTTCAAACAAAGATTTTAATTTAACGAGGAAAGGAAAGAGAATTGAAAGCAAAAACGTTCAAAATTGAATGAGCAATATTCGCAATACCCTAAGAAATTGTCTGGTGATTGATGACAAAATAGAGTTTATAGTGCAGTAGTCACGAGTTTTGGTGGAACATCACCTAGCCTCGCTTTCAGGGATCATCATAACATGTTCCAAAAGTTCGTCCCACTTGTTTCCAGACTGGACATAACTCCATAGTTCTATTGATTTGCAACAACAGAGGAAGGCAAATAAACTTACTGATGGTAATTCGCTCCTCACAACGATGTCCCGAGAGCCCATCGGGACACGAGCAGATATATGAAGATTCATTGCTGAAGCACTTTCCACCATTCATACATGGAGAACTCTGACATGGATTAGATATTGCTACAGGAATAAAACAAAAAAGATACCCTGACTAAAGTGATCACTTTGGCCTGTATGGTAAGAAAGTAATAACACAAGTTCGTGCAGATACCTCCTGAGATTATGCAAGTTTTTGCATAGCTAGAGTACCAGGAAAGAAATATATATGCATTAGCTTTTTGAACCGATCAGCGGAAATTAGTAAGTTTTGAGGCTCAAACAGGGTAAATCACATCCAAACCCTCAAAGCAGAGAAAGGCGGGTGAACTAGATTTCTGTTGCGTCTGGTATGCGGTGAGCTCAGGAAAGATTATTCTTAACCCTTTGCAATCTTTAAAAATCAAAGTTTTGAACTCAATCGTAGTATTCCCCTTCAAGATGGGAGCGTTACTTACGGTTATGGTTAGCGCATGAAGCTAACAAATGGAATCTGAATCCCCTAGACGTATCTTTTTTTTTTACTTTGATATGGTACATGATATGCGACTGTAAATCCGTTTAATCAGTTCGTGTCATTCCAAACACAATCTGCTCGCTGGTGGTTATCTTTCACGTATACAGCTTGAAACTGTAATGTTGCTTGCTCAAATTCCATTTTCATAATCGCTGTGTTTATTACAAACAATTTTTTGAAACTTTTAAGGAGCTGCAATCTGATAAAAAGTTTTGAAAAAGTTGTTTCACTCACATTTTTCACAATGGATTCCTGTGAATCCTTCTGTGCAGTTGCAAATAGCACCACCTCCAGTGTCAATGCAGGTTCCTTGATGTTGACATTTGACCTCATAACATTTTGAAGAGATGTCTAGGCAAATAAAAGCGGAAAGTAGAGAATATTCTTGGATATCTTTAGTGTACTCATTGGAAGAGAGAATGATAGGCTGCTTTGGATAATAAAAATCAGTTGCAAAGATAAAAGAGTCGTGAAATCCCCACTATATTTAATCGTATATGGTTTTTTTGCGTAAATGGAATAGCATGTATGTGGTGTAAGATTGGACCAACCGCATTATTGTAGGACGGATGGAAGGAAAATCCAGAAAAGAGAATACCAAAAATTGTGTACAGCTCACTACATCCCCGTGTTTTTGCATCGGTTTTTTAGTTTTGCTTTGTTTTGTTTTGTGTTGTTTTTTTTCGTCCTACGTGTTTCGCGTGTTTTTGTATTCCTTTACCTCACTTGAATCAGGAAAAAAGTAAGGCTGGGTACGTTATTGGGATACGTTTGTCTCAATGAAAATTTGAATTAGATCGTGAGGAGGTCATTTTATGAAAATGTATCAATACCAGCGAGTGTCCAAAAAGTAGATAGGTCACCTGTTTGATATGGTAATTTGCATAATGCTGTTGTACCCCATGATCCACCGGAAGTGTAACCATACCCATCTTTTGTACATTCTCCAAGATTGGTCTCGTTGCCAAAACATCTCCAGTTGCTGAACCATTGCGGCCCTTTCCTCGAACCAAACTGATTATTATAACCAAAAGAAAGGCTTGCAGGGTACCCCAACTGGCGGCATACCACGTGAGCAGCATTGAGGTCCCATCCCCAGTTACCTACTGTTCCCCACTCTCCCAAGTAAAACACTTCTACTCGTCCAGCATTACTAATTGGAGCACCAGCGAGCCTCACATTCAACACTAAGAGTTCAAAAATAAGTTGTCATGGTAGTTCAGGTTTTAACTCCGCCAGTAAGATATATGCTGAGGTTGAATTTTAGCATTGGTTTAGGATTTTTCTTTTCAATTGTTGTTCATAATAGTTATGGAACTGAGAGGACTCAACTCAACGGATTTTTTTAACCAACACGGTTCTGTTCCCTTTCACTTGCCAAATTTCAGTTTTTGCAGAAAATCTTCTCACAATATTTGTGAGTCAGCAAATATCACATTCACTTCAAACCCTTCACCTCCACAGTCAGTTTTTGTCTATTTTTTTGCCTTGTGAGTTGACTAAGGGAAAATTTTCTATTAAGTCATATTTCTGGTGGTTAGTTTTTATTCCTAAAGCAGACAGGTTTTGCTCGTGGGTCTTGGGAAACCCGAATTAACGACACTTCTTGACCCATTACCATCTGGTACTCATTTCCCACGACAATATCACCAGCCTTTGAAAGCGAAGTCTGTGCATATTCTACAGCCCGATATTTACACAAGTACTCGGTTGAGAATAGTTATTCAGCAGACATGGTTTGATGCTACTCTGGTTTACAGATTTAATGAATGTAACCGAAGAAGTTACAATTCATAGACCCAACGTTTCGACACTCCTGTCTAGTGCCTTCATCAGGGGTGATCTAAACGCTACAACAAGAGGTCCTTTAACATGATCACTAATTAACTGCCTTTTTTCTGACGAGGTGTAAATAGGCATTGCGTTTTAAAGGAGCGTGGGCGGAGTCAATATGCTAAGCTTCCAAACAACTAATGGTGACGCCGATTAGTGGTGATAATTTTAGAATTATCCCACCCAATTGTATGGTTAGTTAGTTCTTACTTCCTGACGCCTATTTACACCTCGTCAGAAAAAAAGGCAGCTAATTCGTGATCATATAAAAGGTGTCAATCCAAAGACATCTCGAAGAACTTGGTCTACCCAAGGCTGTGTAAAGAGCAAAAAGAAGTTGCCGACTTTTATTTAACAAATATAGAAGCCTTGACTGTCCTCTGTTCTGTCGTTGAAAACGCAGGAAGCGGCTAGAGCACGAAAGAAGTTTCTGGAGAAACACGAGACGTAGACCTTTTCTAATTTAACACTTTTGCCTAAAGTTGTTTCAGTCTCTAACACAGAATCTGTATTCCTTATTCCAGAAGTTTCTGGAGAAACACGAGACGTAGACCTTTTCTAATTTAACACTTTTGCCTAAAGTTGTTTCAGTCTCTAACACAGAATCTGTATTCCTTATTTCAGTGGCTTTCTAAGTAGCAAAAAAAGTGTTTGACACAACATTGAAAACCGCGGAAAAAAATGAACTAGTAAATCACAAAAATGTTTTGTCCTCTTTGCTTCCATCCGCAGGTCGCAACTGAAAGTGTCGTTGAATTTGAAGAGTGGGTTGAGCCATTATAACTAAGCCTAGATTAAACAGAACGACCATTTATGACTTACTTTGTGGTGGGTTGAAGTTTTCCTGTCTGCATAAAACACCAGCTGCAAAATCTGGACGTTGTAAATAAGATTCCCACCATCCATGCGGAACGTGTTTGTCCCAAGTTGTCATTGCACAGTCTGAGATGTTCGATTCATTCCCATTACAATGTATGCTCCATATCCACAATGGACCTTTTAATCGTCCGAAAGCTGCGTATTGGAAAATTTCATCGGCGCTATGATATCCCAGCTGACGACACACCACATGACCTGCATTAATATCAATATAACCAGCGCCAAGCACTCCTCCCCAGACTCCGTAATACATCACCTCGATTGTACCAGCAGCACTGAAACTAGATCCAGTCAAGCGAACCTTGAAGTCTGAAAAAAAGTTTTTGAAATCGTAAATACTTTTCATCATTTCAGCGTCAACCTCCCTTTAACTTATCTCAACGCTACACTATGTCATAAGCATGGTGATAGTTCAAAACAAGGTACGTAAACACTACATTAGATGTTATCTGACCTTGGTCATTGAAGACAGGTTCTGAGACACCTTTAACAAGGGAGATAAATGCAAAAGTCCTAACGCACAATTTCGAGAACTCTAATAACATACTTATAGCTCTAATGCATAACTCACAGACCTCGCCAACCTTTAAAAAAATTCCTACACCTGAGTCTGCAAATGATTGAGTAAGCCTTTATCCAAACTACTTAGAAATAAGATAGTAACTCACCATTGGCTTGCGCAGCTCTTGGTTTGCAAATGACACTGAAATCATCGTCATGATTATAGATTGACAATTGAGGCTGTCTGTAATGAGTGCAATTTTGTAGATTACTCTCGTGTCCAAGGCAATGTATATTCCAGTCTTCATACCACTGAGGGCCAGTTCCCGGTCCAAACGCGGCCCGACCAACTGCAAGGACGCTATCAGAGAAGTTTAACTGTCTGCATATTACTCTATCCCAACTGGTCCATTGTATGGAATAATAATGAAAATAAATAGTCCCCCAAATTCCGTGTATTCGAAGCTCTAACCTACCAGCGTGTCCAACAGCAGAATTTGTGAGACGTATATCAAATCCTAGGAGAGATACGTACAAAAAATTCATTGTCGATTATGACGAAAAAAAAGGTATCTTTTACACTGTGTCTAAAATGGGGATCATGTTTAGTACATTTTATTTCGTTCTAGAGTGGCGCAAGTCGGTGTTTTAGCGAATCGAATATCTCTGTCGTGCTTCTTGATTATCTCTTGCATCGGTTCTCCAGTCTCACCGATGTAAACCTAACCGCACTGACAGGAAATCCTGCAAGCTCTGGAACGAAACGAAATTTTTCTTACTCTGATTACAATTGTTACCGCAAACGGAGGGCAAAATATATGCATGCATGTAAGACTTTACCCTAACAGCATCAAAAGGACAGAGGAATAGAAATCCCAGAATCATGGATGCCAACGATAAAAAAAGACGACAATGGGAGAGCTGTGCGACAATGGAACGATGGAGGAACATTTTTTCGTAATGAACCATGAATACCACCCAATCACTGCTAGGTATAATCAAGATGACGTTAACCCGGTTCACTCTATCGCCTGAAGTGCACTAACAGCATGTGTTCGAAACATCTCGATCCATATGTAGAGTGACTACATAGTCATTGAGACTACGAAACCAGTGAGGTAAGATGTACGCACGACACGGCTTACAAGTAGAAGCAACTGGTTTTTGCGTTCAATTTTCTAGTCCTTAAATGTTTATCATGATCTTGGAGTGTGCAAAATTGATATTCACCTGAATCAGCTGTATCATTGCTGCACATAACATTTGCACAGTAACTTGACGAGGTGTAACCATAGAAATCCCAAGCACAATGTTCTAACGCTGATTCGTTTCCATAGCACCTGAAGTTTCGAAAGAAAATTGGCAAAGTGGGCGAGCAAAATAGTCCTCTTCCTGTCAGTAATGCTGTTGTGTATCCCAGCTGGCGGCAGACAACGGTAGCATCTCTGATATCCCAACCGGAGGCGTAAACTGAACCCCATTTTCCTGCATAATAAACCTCCACTCGTCCCATATTTGGCGAAGGAGATCCCCTTAACCTAATCAGCATTCCTAGGTATAAAAGAATGAATTAAAAAATTATGTCGACCGTTAATCGAAGTACAGTCGCCTTTATCAAAAGGTCGACACCTTTCCGTCTCAGGTTTTCATTTCCCTTGCAGAAAGCGAAGAAATGTCTTTCGTTCCTTTGTGGGAGAGAGACTCTTATTGGGAGAACAGGTCTAATAAAATGATTAAAGCGGGACAAGAACCAACGCCTGGTATAATCAACTTATCATACCGTGATGTCCCCTACAATTATAAAATCAAGCTTAACTGTAAGTCGAGGTTTATTGAGATTTTACGGTAACATTTGCAGGAATGAGAAGGTCACACAAAACTTCTGAGCGTATAGGTGGGTCTCACTTAAATTTACAATTCTACCTCTCATTTGCATACAATTAGGGGTCGCGTTACACTTTTTCTGAGGCACTCAATGGAAACACAACATAACGTCTGTATAATCAAGTTATGGTATGAGCCAGTTCTGTGGCTTTTGGTATATTTATGCGACCTCAGTGTATGGAAATGCAAACATTTCATCCCTTGCATAATCAAGATGTCAACAGAACTCTATTTCGAGAAGTAAAAGCTGTGCCACCTCTTTACGAGGCAGCTTTCGTGAACAAGATTTAACCACTAAGGGGACTTGTGGTAAAGTGGCTCGTTGGCACCCACCAATAAGGCACAACAAAAAATCATGACAGGTATAAACTTAAGGAAACGCATTTTTCAGTACCAGTATATCGAGAGGCAAACTAAAACTTAAGAGTTTCCGTGTCCGGTTAGTGCTCTCAAAACATTAATCCTTCATTTATAAGGCTATCAAGTCTACCACAAGTTGTATTATCATAATTCGGTTTCTGGCCTGTTATGGATGTACTATGCTAATCAAAGCTAGTGGGCATAGTTGGAGCAGTACGTAAGCATTAACAACGCATAAATATTGCCATGCTCTTGAAGATATCTGAAAAAACAAAGTTACAAACCACTTACCATTTGCTTGGGACAAATCCTTGCATATGACACCTGCAACGTTCTGTGGATTTTGTGATTCAGACTTGTTACCAATCCCATCATGAGAACAGCTCATTATGTTAGCTTCACTTCCAGAGCACTGAAGATCAGTAATCCACACAAGACCGCTGACTGACCCATATTCACCGTTTGCCAAAGCTACTTCTGCACCAGCTTGATAACCAAGCTGGCGACACACCACAGAGGCGTCGTTTATGTCCCAGTTTGTTTCACTGATTGCTCCCCAGATTCCTGCGTACAACACTTCTACTCGACCAGCATTAGGAATAGAGGATCCTTGAAGGCGAATTGAAATATCTAAAACGAATTAATAAAACATAACCATCACTGAAAATAAATTGAACAAGGCTATCAGTTTAAAAGAGACTTGTCCTGCGTTTGCTTGCAAAGAAAAACAAGGTACCTCATCAAAGAATCAAAGAGTAGACATTGATGGCAAGAATATGGCACAAAACCTTTTCTGTAAGGTGGGTTGTGCATTTCGCTATTTTTTGGCACTCTGCTCCTAAACTATTAATATTCTGATACTTGCTGTTATTTTTAAAATATTGAACATAACTTAACTGTTTCCGGTTCAGAGCTCGAAACATTTGGAAAGAGCAATTATTTACGCTTTACTGTCACTATCTCAGTTTCGATTAGGCAACAGGCACGCTGCTTTATTCTAATTGGCACATAGTTCAGTAAAAGTAGTAGTGATGTCTACCGCCAAATTAAATTAACTGTCTGGGAGCTAAGGGTTCGGATCCCTTCCAAGCTTTATATTATTCTAACATCTTTTTCTGAAATTTCTTAAATCACAGTCTATCTGTGAAAATTTTTTATTTGCATTCACGAGTCAGAAGAAAATTCATTTCATTTTTGTTGATTATCCGTCGGAAATGTTTAAGATCATACTCAGATCAGTCCAACATTATCAAAGGATATACCCAAACAGCTTCTTGGGCGAAGTACTTTCCTTGAATGCTTCACTCAAAACCTGTGACCAACACTAGTCGCCCATGCATCAGCTCAGTGGAAGACAATGACCTGAATATGTTATTATCCACGGCCAAACTACAAACAAAATCTTACTGACGTATAGGACTTTTAATTCATGAAGTTTGCTTGACTTTCTTATATTGTACACTTTTTATCACTAAAAAAGCATGTACAAAAAATGACCCAAAGCAAGCATGAAATCCTTTCTGGACGCTTGAAATTTAATTCAGATACTTACCGCGGACATCAGTATCAAGCTCATGGGTCTTGCATATCACACCCGCTTCTCTACCTTCCCAGACATTACTCTTAAGCCAGCCTCGGTACTGACATTGTTGTAAAGTCTTCTCACTTCCTGTGCAACTCACGTAAGACATCAAGACTGGTCCGGACCCTTCTCCAAACGGTGAATATTTCAAGGCCGTAACAACACCTGGGAAGCCAAGCTGCCTGCATACCACTTCAGCCTCTGTTCTATCCCAAGACGAAGATCCATCGATACGTCCCCAGACTCCATAAGAAAATATTTCAACACGTCCAGCGAATGTCACGTTGGAACCAGTTAAACGGATGCGAACATCTATTAAAATTGAATGTAGGTTTTTCAGTCGATGAGCAAAAAATTACGGCTCAATTTCATCTCTTAAAAGCCAGAGTAAGTCAGAATAATCTTTGCCTTGTGTACTAGTTGGCTGCTTGCTAGCTGCAGTATTGGAATCACCCGTTCTCTCTACAGCCAGCGAGTGCTTTTATTGGTCATTTGATCACTCTCGTTAGTCTCCCTGTAGTAGCCCTTATCACTCTTACCACAGGCCCCGGCCACAGGGTGGTTGAGAAGGGAGATGCGGCAGCCCCACTCCTCCGCAAGGTAGTGAGTATAGAAATTATCGTGAACAAGGCTCACAATTTGATCAGAAATATTTTAAGAGCAAAATTCCACAATAATAGTGATGGTGTAATTTTGAAAACTACTTAGCTTCTGAGTGTACATTTGATGTATCACAGTATGTGCATATATGTAGTGCTACAGGTGCATATATATCTTTTTTGATAGGACGAAAAATATCTTTCTTTATTTCTTTACCGAGTTCAAAACTTACCATCTCTCTTATTTCTATCTACAAACAAACATATCGCTATCGACATTGCTGATGTCAAATGTTGCTTCATGTACATGTAAAAGCTGTTGAACCGCCCCCCCCCCCCAAATATCTATAGGACGATCCGTTTTAATTCGAAAAGTCGTTTATTACGCTTTCTTCCAACTGGTTGTGGCTCCGTAAATATTCCTTCGAAATTAAACTGATACCCACCAGAATAGTACAGCACAAGCCTCATGAACGTCAATGCTGACATCGAGATCATCTTGTCTGACACTGGGACCTCTTAAGTTTGTGGTACCTAAAGGAGAAAAGTGTCGCACACGTTTTCTTATTTCAAAATGTTTATGGTGCAGAAAACAATGGTGGGTTAATCAGACAGCAAAGTAAACAGCCCCACAAAATACTCTTAATACCGATCTCATGAAAGGAAATTTCCTAAAAAATTTCGATACCTTGTTGTTCATTACGGGTTTTAGGATCATCATTTGGTCGCACATATAACTTAGCATCGACAACGAGCAGTATGGATAACTGATAAACCTCCAGGTGCGAAAAACTAGAATGGGGATTTTGAATCTTAACAAGAGAAGAGAGAGAAATATGGTCTGGAGAGTGTTGCATGTATTTCAGCGCGAATGAAGGAAACATCACAACAAGATATCTTCTATGATTTCTCGAGACATGACTGAGACACCTCTGTTGTTTGCGACAAGAAAAGTGAAATATCGATATCAAAGCAAATCCTTGTCATTTATCACAGCAAAAATAAGCATGTTAGGTCAGTCTCCTAGTTTGATTATCTGTTTAAGGCACTCTAGCTGCCTCCCCCCTCCTTTTTAGTGGTTTCGTTGCTCATTTTGTGTCGTTAACACACTTTTTGTTTTCTCATTGATGTAATTTTTTTGTTTCCTTTTTCTTAACATCGTAATTTAATGTAAGTTCTTGTAAAAAAATAAATAATAAAACAATAGTTTAATTCTCTGTGTCTAAGTGTGAATGGCCATCACAAAGAGTAAGTTGGCGTTCGAGACTAAGCTTTTTATCAGAGTCGCTCTGACGAAGGGCTCACTCTTGAAAGGTCAGCTATCGAATCTTTTTATGTTGAACAATTCACAGTATCAACTCAGTTGATGATACCTCATTATCAAATAACTGAACACTTTTATCATGCATATAAAAAGCAAACCCGCTCTGTTTTCTTATGTCTCATAAAATTAAAATATGTCATGCTTGGTGACTCTATTGTTTCTCAAGGAAACAAACAATATGGAAATTGAGTGCAAATGTCACTTGCTTATTAAATAGCTTTGACGCACTTATGAATACAAGATCACTAAAAAAGAAAATAAGCTGTGTGTCTGACGTGATTATCAGGTTATATACCTCAGAAAGTTTCTTCTCAGTGACAAAGATGTACATTAAGCTTTTCCAATTTCTGAGCGAAACCAATGAACCTCAAACCAGGCGCACATTAAAATAATTCGAGCAAATCTTAAACATTTCCGGGTCGAAAAAAAGGAATTCAACTGTTTTCCTCTCTCGGTCATAGTTCTTCATCACTGTTCGGAAACGAACTAAAAAAACGGGAAAACCCCAATGATCTTGATTGACAGTCTTTTGCCGGCAAAACTTCTGTGAAATTGAACGGTTAAAGTAGCAAGTTCAAGGGCATAAATCCAACCGATCTTGTTGTTAAAATCGACACTTCAAAAACCAAACTTTGGTCCTTGCATTGAGTTTTAAGCCCAGCCGAAACAATATACATTACCCACCAATGGTAAAATGTTCACTGTTTTAGCAAACTGAAACATTCTCAGCCTTAGCATAAAATGTTATGCAGAAGTCTAGTTACGATACCGCACCTAAAGTCTGAGCATGAGTGTTTAAGCCAATACCTACATACCTCAAGATAAAAAGAAATATCCAGGCAGGTTTGGTGTTTAGAAAACTAAATGCCTCGCATTAAAAGGTATACGAAGAATTAATAACGATACGGAACACAAATACATGCAACAGACAACAATCCCATCCAAGGGCATCGACGAAGCGTAAATTTTGGACTTTAGCCAAATAAAAGCAGACTCGTTCTCGAGCCCACGCTCGCTCCCCACCAATCCCTTGAGGGTAAGTGTCATGTCGTGCCCCGCGCTCACTAGATGAGCGGAGAGTGGCCTCTATGAACAAGATTTAAAAGCGTAGGTGATGCAGAGAAAGCACTGTGTTCCCCCAATTGTCACTCCATGAAAATATACATATATTGACCAAGAAGAAATATATGCCGACCCTTTGCGCCGGTTCTTCAAACAAAGTTTAGCCGTTGTTTAACAAAATCGCGCTCTAAACCATCTTCAAGGTAGCCAAACCTTTTATCTGAACTTCCTTTTTTCGAAAAAAATTTCAAGAGCGCCGAAAGCTAATGGTGAAATACATTTATTTAATTAAATGAACTCTCTTATAGAGAATCCCCGAGGCCCACTGCTAACATAAAACCGCGGTGTGGGTAAGACCTGATGTAAATAACCCGCCCTTACTGTCCAACTTCTTTCACACTAGCGTAAAATTCGATATTCGTCATAACATTTTGAGTCATGTTTCGAGATCTTCAGTACTACTTAAGTTGAATGAGACGACAAAATACTAATTCGGTAACAAAAGGAAAAAAACCACACACACAAATGAAATAGGAACAGGAATGGTTTAGGTTGAAAAAGGTCAAAACAGTTCAGCGGTTAAGTATAAGCAAGATGTACACCCCTCGACTAAGGTTTTGTATGTGCAACTGTGTCTAACGTGTAAACCGGTTGGAATTCCAGACATGGTGTGATACCTACAGTTATTTAACGATTTTTTACGCTTTTGGATCATTTGCTTGCGTATTGATGTGATTCATCATCAGTTGTTTCCAGAGACTCTAGGAAGTGAGGTTATGGCTGAGTGTGTGCTTCAAAGAGAAGAGCTACAGTGTCGAAAATGCAAACGGTTGCTTTTGAAGTACTTTGAAATCGTGGCTTCACTCGCGTCCTTAATTGTATCGCAACCATACACTTAAGACGAATGGAGGGTTGGCTGTTAAAATTAACCATATTTCAAGCATACTCTCTCGAATCCACCCCAGTCATCTCCTCTTAATATGATTCACCTACACGTACTGTTCTACGCATTCTTTAATTGTAAGGATAACTTCAAATTTCGTCTAAAAGCTAATCATTCATACCACTCTTAGTCTGGAGAAAATCAAATTTTAAAGTAAAATTGATTTCACTGTCAAAATAACAATTAACAGCGTAAACGGGCATTATTGGTTCTTCAAAACGTACTAGTTTTTGAGAGCTCCACTTCATGAACACTGTTCGCACACAGACTGGTTTAAGAGCTCATTTATCTGCCGAATAAAAGTTATTCTTTGTACACTTTGACGGCTTCCCTTATCTTCATAATTGACTATTTACAAGACGAAGACGAGAGTAAACAGTGAAGAACTGCACCAAAAATAGTGATGAACAGAACCAAAAAACACGATCACTGATCATGGCCGCTTTCGTCTGGGAACCATTGGCAACGTGTTTCTTGCGTTGGAGTCTCGGTGCGACAAAGCAGTTCCTAATCGTGGTAACCAAAGATTTATCGTTTTTTCAAAACGTATTTCCTTAGAAAATAAACTAGAAAATAATGTATATTTTTATACATAAAGCCAAGTGGTGTGGATGTAATCAGGATGATTCGGAATTAGGTGAGTCCATACTCTGTGCGCATGACCGTCTCTGTTCCAGCTGGCGACAAACCCACATAGATATCATATCCACATTACCATCATCATTTGATGCAATGAAAGGATGAGCCTGCAGTTCACAGAAAACACAAACAGATCTGGTAAGCGAATGAATCGTGATAACAACAAGAGGGAAAATACGAGACAAATTCAATGTGTGCACACTTGAGATAATTAATTTTGACTCACCAAAACCGCTTCTGGAGTCAATCTCGATATGGGATTTTTCTGCATGCTAATAGAAAATTAAAATAGTCTTATGTGTAGTAAATGATATTTCAGAGAAAACACACAACCGCGAGGACGTAAAGAAATTCGGTCCAGGGTGTGTTAATTAGCACCTGTCAAGTAACGCACCCTTTCCCCCACCCCCCCCCCAAAAAAAAAAAAAAAAAAAAAACACACACACAGACACACACATAAAATCACCTCGAATCGAGCTACGCATGAGCAGTACTAATAGCACTACCACCCTAAGTGCAGCCTTGAGCCACGTAGTCAAAATTGAAGAGATGCTGCAATACAGTTGTAACATCCGAAAGGCGATCTGACAGCGAATTGCCTATCACGGTCGTGAAATAGATGCACATGCAAATACATGCCGAAGGCCTGAACCGTTCAGCACGTGCCTTGGCTTAATTCAAAATCTTTCTAGACATGTGAATTCCCCTTGCTGTTTTCAAGCTTGAACACAACATCACGCACAACACGATGATCTTGGAACTCAATAACGTACCATTGAGACACGAAATCCACAAAAGCTGGTGAGAATTTATCCTCAGGTAGCCGTGGCGGGTTCTTGAGATGAGGAGAGAAACAAACAAATAACAAACTATGCAAATAACTACGCATCCTTCAGTAGAGCAAGGACTGTAAAGCAAAAGTGAAGTACATGACTGGGAGATCACATATGATAATGACCTTCCCTTTCGGGGTAACATAGCAAGAAATATGAGCACCTTCCCAGAAAAACAATTGAACATGAAATGAAGAACAAGACACATTTTGCTCACCTCGTGAACGATGCATTGAAGTAACGCTATTGGCTGTGAAAAGAATCACAAAAGGCTGGTCTTAACCCAGGTTTTCGAGCTGTTATCATAGCTTATGATGTCACTGTTGTTTTCACTATTGTTTACTAATTGGTGGCGATGGTAAAAAGACCTTAGAGTGTAGTTTCAAGCTATTTTTCATATATATTATTATCAACTATTTTCAACCACTCTCTTTCGTTATATTGTAACTTCGATCAAATTAAATGAAACTGAACTTTACGTCTTAATAATCACAGTCAAAGTTAGGGATTACTGCCGTGTAATACGTCGAGACTACAGTACCGCCTACCAATAAATCAATAAATCAGAGGGACATCGCCCGCGTGTTTCGTTTGAGGGGTTTGTGGGGGGCGGGGAACGTGCGTGTATTATTCAAAACTCCATGTAAGCATGACCTTTTCATTGGCTGATCCCTGATTACTTTAAATCGAAAGAAGTTGGCTTTGAATGACCCATCTTATTCGAAAAGGGAGGTAAAAAATTGAGAAATAAAACCTTTCAACTATTACTGACAAGAGACTTCTTGCCGCTACTGTGTCGGGGTTTCGTGCATTTGACCAAGCAAACTTTAACCACGGCTTATGGTTATGAACTGCACGGTTAAGTCGTCTGTTTCGTTCGTCAACCATGCGGACATCACCGCGCTGTGGCCAAGTGGACCACGCCTGTTGATGTCTGTGCGCATGCCCGAACAGCGGGACGAGATACTTCTCGCTAAAGCGAATTAGTCAAAATCAATAATATGTTACAAAAATTTCCAATAAAATTGCAATGTTACCAGAAACGTTTCGGCGCCTCCATGACTCTCCTGTTAAACAAAAAATGCATTAAAAAAATTAGAAGAAATTAGTCACATTTTAAAGATTCCTGTAGAAAGACAGTTAAAAACCACCGAACTCTTTTTAAACAACCACCATAAATTAAACCTCTTACCGTTGGGTAAGGAAACCTTCCCAAAGCCATCTGCAATAAAAATGAAAGTTTAAAAAAATCGAGTTTCAGTTTGTTTCAATCAAGGTGTTTTCACTGCGAAACGATCAATTCAGTCAAAAAACCTTGGATGTTTCTTTACCTCAAGAAGAGACACGCCAAGACTCCAGAGCTCCGATCGAATGCTGTATTCATCTCCTTGTATGCGTTCGGGCTGAGGTAAGAGATACGAGAGTAATGAATCGCAAAGGAAAGTCAAGCGAGCTGTTAATTGCGCACCAGAGAGCAGGGAACTCTCTTGCTACAACGCTGAATTCTTTGGGTTTATTTCGATGGCCTGAACCATTTTTATTAAGACGTCGAAAATATTCCCCAGCCTCTACATTGTTTTTCAAAAACTTGGTCAAAATGTGAGCGATAAGCGCATAGTATAAGTCTTACAGGGAGAGAATCAAGATAAGAGATTGCACAACCCACATAGGCCTTCCCTCTGACTGTAGCCCCTGTTTACTTATTTTTTAAGATAAATCCCATTTTCGGAGAGATCCCCGGAGGATCTATAAATTACTGAAGGAGTGAGTTCCTATGTCGTGAATTTTGAGCACAATGTGGAGTTAAAATGAGTCGTCTATTGGTCCTCGCCGAAACATTCAAGTAACTTGCGACATAATGTAACATCGTTCTGAGCAAATCAGATGCAGTGATTTCTCAATAAAAGTAAATGAATAGATGAAAAAATAAAAAATAAAAAATAACTGCACCTCTCATAAAAAAGAAACCTCTACTGTATAATGTTAAAACTTCAACTCACCGCCATGTAAGCATGAGTTCCAACATAAGTTGTTGCAATTGAATTGACCAGCTGTAAAGAAAGCAACAATTTTGTGAAATGAAATTCTAACTAAGAAAATTTAGCTATGTACACCTTTTTTTAAATCAGTGTCCAAATTTACTAACCTGTCGACTGACACCAAAGTCACATAATTTCACTTGACCTCTTGTGCTCACCAAAATATTAGAGGGTTTCACATCTACAATAAGAACATGAAGTCATTAGTCTGACCGTGAGGGGCTCTGTTGAAACGTAAGAGAATGGAACTCTTGATAAATTACTAATGTATTATACCATGTATTACCAACCTCTGTGCATAATTTTTAGCTCCCACAAATAAAGGAGTCCTTTGACCACCTATAAATCATGAAAAATAGTCAGAATAAAGTTACATGTACATGCAGCTATGAACTGTTTAAGAGATGTTTGATTAAAAAAATTAAAAAAAAGATTTTAAGAGCACTCACTGAAACTGCAATTCTTCCCAGAACTGGTTCAGGAATCCAGCCATACTGGTCAAGAGAACCGCCTGAAAAAAAAAAATGAAAAAAATTGGTCAATAAACTGGTTCTATTTAGATTTGTAAGGTGTTGACCTTAAATGGAAACAAGCGTTTTACTTTTACAAAAAATGTTTGCTTTCAACTGGTGGTTAACAAAAGGTCATGTGCGTTACCTGTACATGGTTGATTTATGTGTAATAGCAGAAGTGTGGTTTTGAAATAGAGAGTACACCCACCTACAATAATAGGCTTTAAAAGCCTTGGGATTTAACAAATTTCTGAACTAGTCCCCATATACAAAACATGGTCCTGCAATATTAGCTAGTTCTATGAACTTCAAGGAGCAAGGAGGTTAATTTGCACAGTTCTTAATGCCTATCGTACAGTTCTTACCATCCATATATTCTGTACAAATTGATATCCTATGAAAAAATACACCAAATGAAACCAAATCAATATTCAGTTGGTAATAGCATCATTAAAATTAATACCAGCATTTTTTCACCTAGTAATAATATTGTTGTGGCTTGCTTTTATACACCTATATGCTGGAGTTTACAGTAAACAAACTAGTGAAATATATGTCTCAATCTAAAATTTCTTTTAGCCTTTGCTGGCTAGTATTTTTTTTAAGGCTGACCAATTAAACAATCTCTGGAGAACACCATAGAGTGTAAAAAGAGAGGATAGCGATGCATTTAATTTGACTGAAAGGATACCATACCTATTTTCAACAAAAAATGCTCCATAGAATTCAATAATGAATGGTGAAGAGCACTGAAAAAAATAGCAGTTAAAAAAGTATGATAATTAGTATCGAACAATCAAATAGATGTTGAATAATAAAATAATGTACAATACAACTTTACCTGAAAAAGTATTTCCAATTCAGAAATGATCTGTTTCTGTACATCAGGAGTTACATCTAAAGGAATCACCTGAAGATAATATCATTCAGCTCTTAATATACTTTTACTGCAAAAAGTTTTTAACTTCAACAGATCCAATAACTTTACTGAAAAACATACATGTATAACACAAGTAAAATTTATACATCAATTTAAACTCATAACAAAGTTACAAATTAAATTAATAAATTAGGAACTTGCACTCTGTCAGTTCAAAGCATTTAAAAAAAAATCACTTAACATGTAAATTTTCCACAAAAGCAATTTATTAGAAATGTGTAAAAAATGGAACTGTTGTGGGTAATCAAGAGGGGATAACACAAACCTACCCTCAAAGCACATCCAGACACTCACCTTAACTGCAATAATTCTGCTTGTGCTTGTGTGTAATGCCCTAAACAGAACAATAGCCATGAGCAAATGAAAAAACCAAAGGCTCAGCTGCAATTGACAGAATGGTTCTTTGAGTATGTTTTCAATCACAGTGCTCAAAAGTAACACAGTTTTTGTTTGCAAGTTTTTTACAGTTATATGCTAAGTAAAGAGAAAATTTGTATACATGAAGTGGTTACAGCACTTACAGTTCATTTGGCAATAGATGTTCAAAATTTAAAATCAAATTAAGAGTGAATAACCCACCTATAAACTGTTCCTCCATTTCCATGGCCCAAAATGTCTAGATGCTGTATGTCAGTGTGAGATACCTACAGATGCATCAGTGCATACAGTTAGGGGGCTAGAAATTATTTAATCCTAAAAGTTCAATCAATTTTTGTTACATAAAACAAGTGCATTTGAATTATGCTACTAATCATAACCATTGCAAATTTCTCACATATTATAGGTGAATTTGCAGCTTCATTTTTCACTAATCATTTTGTACAGTACTATTGTAATCAGACAGTTGGCTGTAATCGGACACCTGTTATCAGACAGTTGAAGCAGCCAATCATACTAAGTCCACTAATAGCTAGTCCACCAATCACAGAAATGACCAAAACAATCATTGATAGCAACAATCACTTATCCAAAGAAAAACTGGGGAATTTCCAAAATGGAGGAATTTTTAACTAAAGACATTGTATCCACTGGAGATATTCTCAGTGTATTTGCCTTTTCAGAAATTGAAATCATTATGGTGATGACTAATTGGTGACAGGACTTCTTGTCGTCCAATACTGTCTGTAATCATACTTGTGATTAACAAAAATTGGATACCCACTTCATGGTCGTCCAATTTTGTTAATCACTTGTATGATTACAGAGCAAATTTCCACAACTGTCAGGCTACTTCATTCCAATCTTGCACTCATATCAGAAATATGTTTCAACTTTTGTTGAAATCTCCTTAAACCATACAGGTGTACAGTATGTCAGCCAAAAAGGTTCACTTTATGCAATTAAGTGTATTGTATCTCATTTCACATTATTTTCCATGGTGTAACAATTCTTTCAGAGCAATTTGATTTTCAATTTCCTTTGTCTTCTAATTTAATTGTATAGTCTTACCCTTCAAGACAATAGATAACTCATACAAAATAAAATGTATTTTGAAAAAATTTTTAATCAAAGGAAATTTTTTGATACAATAAATGTATATTTTCCATTTTTCAAAGTTCATCCATTCTTTTTACTTCTTTTAATTAGCACCTCTTTTTGGTGACATTTTCCTTAGATAAACTTGCTTCAGGCTTTTGTAGATACTTTTTTTTAGCAGGAACCAATTACTGGAAATTCACCTCTCTTACCTGACCATTTGCTAAGATAATCCTTATGTCCCCCCTCTCTGGTTTGTGTGAGCTTAAAGACAAGAAATGGTGTAAGACAAAAACTGACCAACAATTGTCTTAACCTGTGCTGATCAGAGAAAGTTGGTTGACATAAATGAAATTCAGCTTAATAACTAGCTGTATAAAAACAACTAACCTTTCTGAAGGGAGACTAGCATTAGTTGGCATGGCATTGTTTACTGGAGCTGCCTTTGTGTTAACCTAGACAAAATGTTCAGACACACAATTTTCAATTATTAGTTCAGCTTGCAATAATGTTACTTTCTGAAAGTCTATGAATTAATTCACAGCTAGAGGAAAATGTTATTTATGAATAAATGGCTCTAGCTGACAGCTCTGAAGAATGTACATGTAAATTAGAACTATCCTGACTGTAGTTCACATCTGCCATGTCTACCTACATGTAATAACTGCACTTACAGTCAGTCCACAAAAATTCCTCCTTCTTGAAGTTCTACAAGCTGTACAAGGAAAAATTTGATGTACAATTAGCTTTAAAATCATTTTCAAGATCTGACTCAAAAAGTTTTAATGGAAATCAGTTTAAATCATATAAGACTAATTTCAAAATAAAAACAAGTTTATAATCAAAAGTTCTTATCTTGAGTTAAATTTGAAGCACATAATATACATTGTTACTTTCTGTGTACATAAAAAATAAAACAAGAATGCACATTTAAAAATACAGTTCATATATAGGTAACACCATCCAATCAAATACCTTTTGGATAAACCATTAATGGCTCCAGTGGTACTCCTCTTCTCTGCCTTTCACAGTTCATCCACATGTGCTTTTTGTAGAAAAAATTTTGACAACACAAACATTACAGAAATATGTTCATGTACACAGTCATTGTTTAACTTGATCCTAGTAAATTTAAAATTATGGTAATTTAAATTATCTATGACTTTAAAATTGAGTAAATTGTTGAAGAAGGCTCAGAATCAAGTGTCACTTCAACATATTTTAAATGTTCAGCAAACATCTCTAGATAAGGACTCAAGGGCATCATTTTGCATTCCCTTAAGATTGAAGTATTGAAGGTAGATGCATCTGCCTCTGTTTATAATGGTATCACATTTTCAATGAGTTGTACACCACCAAAAGTTAAACAAATATTAAGAAACCTATACTCTTATGCTAGCCAAGATGGATGAATTCTGACAATCACTTTTTTGCCATCTATCACAATTGGACTTTGCATCGATTTAAAATATAATCCAGTCAATATAACCATTATCATGATAATTTACCCCATTGATCATGGCCTGAAGTTCTTCATCACCCCTAACAGTGATTCTATCTCCTTCTTCATCTTCATCTATTTCCAGTGGAAAAAAACACAATAGTGGAAAACTTGAATGGATAAAATTCAATATTTTAGAATATGCTGCAGCTTTAAATCTAAGACTCTCAAGAAAGCAAACACAAACCTTGATAATTGTTATTATTTTTCCCCAGTATGAAAGCACAGGTATATACTGATTGATGAATGTAATCTTCATATAGTTCAATTTACATACTTTTCATCATTATTACAAAAGTCCCTGAACACATCAGCAATGTGGACTTGTATTTTATGTTGACCTTTTCAGTGTGGAACAGAAAGCTCCAGACAGATTGTTCATAATAGCATGGTTCAGTTCTACTAGTTTTTAAGTAATGACTGTACATACATTCAAATGCAGTGGCTGTAGCATGAGGCATCACCTGAGATATCGCCTCCTGCAAAACAACAAAACACCTCATTAGTGAGCAAAAGTGGAGGTAGAGAGGTTGGTCAGCATAAATAATGTACATGAAAGAAGCTTATCCGTTTTTGACACTAGAAGCACATCACATGATTTGGAATTAATTATTACTATTATTTCAGTTTAATAGCTGCATGTTTGAATTTTCTCTAGCCATTTAAGGTATCAATTACTTTTGTATCATTACAAGTGTAATGAAGAAATGTCGACTGTCGAGCACATTGGATTCAAATTGTGAAAGATAATTAAATAAATGCAACAACGACATGGTTTTCTGGTAATTAGTATCCATGAAAGTATTACGAGAAGACAGAAATATAGTAAGAAGTAACTCAAAATGAAGAATGCCTCAATCTGGCTGACTGTTTCCTCGTGGTTATATGTTCTTTAACTAAGCTTGTATGTCACTTGATAGTGAATCACATTGATGGCAATTTATCGTCGCAAATGGGTTTACCTTTCCAGCTTTTCCAAAAGCAAGAGCATGAATTAAAATAAAAAGGCTAAGCACTTAGTAATTTTTCAATTTTTCGTGTCTCCTGGTGTAGTTTTCAGCCACGGCCAAGCACTGACACTTGAACCTACATCTGTAACATGTCATTAAATTGCGGTTGAAAGAAGCTCTAAATATCAACAAACATACCAACACATCTCGAAAAATAATATTGTGATTAGCTGTCCAGTCTACAGCTTCCCCTTCATCAGGAACAATGCGCATCACCAGCGAAGGTGACAAGGACATAAGGCGAAAGAGTCATTTCATTTCAAGAACTTTCTAGCTGCCTTGTCCATCATGCAGAAAAGTGAAGGGCGTTTGATCGCCGGAAGATATGACGGCCGAGAGAGACTAGGCTCAGATTTGTCTCCAGCCCTCTTAACATCACTACGTAGTTGCAAAACAATTTCAGGAGCATATAAGGTAGGCGTGTGGGTTGTTTTTTCATTTTTTCACCTTTGTTGTATTATATTCTCAATCAATGCACCTATCTAAGGTCTGCAATAGATCTATGGTAATTTGATTTACCCCTAAACGAAAAATTTTGCCTCTTCATTCGTAAAGGTAAAAAAATTACGTAACAGTGCTATGATCACCTTGATGATGGCATCTGATCAGGCCTAATATGATTTTCGCCTTTAAGCCTAAAACACGGTGGTTTTTAAATTCGTGATAGCCTGTTGCAGGTGTTTGCTATAGTTTGGAATGAATCGTACCACCTTCCATCATATCTGACCGTGGGGTCACACGCATGCCTCTTCAAAACCCTCTTCCTTGTCCCCATTTTTCACTGCCCTTCTCACCTCATAGGCGGCGGAGCAGGAGGGGCCCGTAGACCCCCCCCCCCCAAACAAAATCTTAGGGGGGCAGAGCACCCCAACGTTTTGGTGCCAGAAATATCAATAGTGCACCATAAAAATTGCAAACTATTCAATCTCCTGATCTTTTCCCAAATCCTTTTATCAGAAATGGCCTTGGAGTAATGATATGTAGTAAGACATTTTTTGAACAACTCCAACCTGTGTTTGAAAAGCCAGATAGTGTGCTGAGGAAATTACACATGATTTAATTTTGTATGCAGTAACTCAATCTAATGCTAAACTGATTTTTAAACTGTGCTCGAGAAAAATGAAAGTTAGTAACAAATTGATTACAGACACACTTGAAACTGTGAAGATTGTAAAGGGGTTTGCATGTACCAAAAATCAGTGAAAAGGGCATTTTAGAAAATTTAAGTGGGAGTAAAGGCTGAGCTAAAGATAAGCCTCCCTCCCTTCATGTTTTAAAATGCTCTGCCACCTCTGCTCTTGCCTTAACACTCTCTTATTTGTCTCATTTCCATAAACTTTTTTACTTTTTTTTTATTCTGTTGGAATACATTTAAGTTAACCTACTGAAAGATTCTTGACATGCACTTGTTGTTGAGCATCTAGTGATGTGATCTGCAGACAGTAATAATTTGGAATGTAGATTTTTTTTAAGAAAGGGAATAACTCAATGAGCTAAACTGTTGTAGACCTTTTTAGGCTGTTTCATTGTTGTAAACTTTCTTTATTTGCATACCATTTGAATTAATTAATTTCATCCAAGCTTGAATTGGATTTTTTATCTCAATATCTCCTTGCCATTCCTCTGGGTAGAATTAGGCCTTTAAATTCAATGCAATTATTTTAAATGGAGTCACTGATTCCTTAGTAAGCGGCATGGCATGATGATGGTATGTACATGTGAAATAAAAAATCAGATTAAACTTTAGTACCTTTTGGTCATTATCAATCCATTGATCTTACAGGTAACTGATAATTATGCCACAGCCTTGGGTTATCATTGGTGGGTCAGTCTTGCTACCTAATGTTGGTGGTATGCTTGGGGGATTCATCACCAGATCTCAGGTTAAGGACTGGTTTGACAAAGGTACCTGAAAATGCCTAACCATTCATTGTATACTTAACATAACAATCATTTTCAAAATGGAAAGTCAATTATACAGTCCACCTGAGGGTGAAGAAAATTGTATGATACAGCACAGGCAAATGGATTTCACTTGCCAACTGTCAAGAGATTGTTGAAAAAAATCTATTTTTTCGACAATGGATTATGTGTATTGAAGTACAGAAAACGGTCACCTTATCAGTTTTGATATTTGTAGTGTTCATTTAGGAAACTACCTCTGATTTTAAAATTTTTCATAGAATGAAGAGATTTTCCAACAACTAAAAATTTTTCTGTATTTTTTCCTGTTCATTACCTTTGAATTAATCACTCTTTAGGGATGTCCTACATGTGCTTTCCTCCCAACCATTTCATAACCTTAATTTTTGACAATTAAGGAGGTTATGTCATAATTTTCGTCTTGTCCATTTGGTTTGACATGATGTTTCCAATGATTTTCATAGCCCTGCTTGTTGCCTTTTGATATATAATTACTTCTTGAAATTTTGTCTTACTCCTTCAGCTAATTTATACAGCACCTTTTAAGCCAAGCAGCAAAAATTGATCTAAATAGATTTGACTTAGCTCCATTAAGGCTACTGGGAATTTTTTCATATTGTGTTAAGTTTTAAACATTCATTCCAGACTTAAAGAAACCCTCATGGAGACCCCCAAACTGGCTCTTTGGGCCAATGTGGACCAGCCTATACTCTGGAATGGGTTATGCATCATATCTTGTATGGCGAGATGGTGGAGGATTTGATGGTGAAGCGAAAACTGCACTGGCCCTGTATGGGACAAACCTGGCTTTGAACTGGTTGTGGACTCCAATTTTCTTTGGCTCTCACAAGTTGGGGCTGGTAAGGAATGCTGTTGAGATTTAAACCCTATTTGACAATTGTGGTGACACTGGCAGAGAGTGATTATTGTTTTAAAAAAAAAATTCATGAATGTGATACGAACTGCAAAGATTTGTTCATTGCACAGACAAATTTGAGCTTGTTTTTCAAACTATTTTACAAGACCGAAGATAAAAGAGCAAAGGTCAAAGACACCCCCTTGTCCCCTGAAATTTCACTGGGTTTTCTACCATTGTAACACCCATGTTAAGGAGATATAAAGCCCTCCCCATCTAATTTTCCCTTGTAACAAGGTAAGATTGATGGAGGGATCTGAAGAGTAGAAAGAAATCAAGAGAATGTCTCTAATATGGCCCTAACCAACACTCTGCCTGTCACCCTCCCCCTCCTCAAAGAAACAAAACAAAAGCCAAAATTTACAATGCACAATATGATTTATTACAATTTTGATTTTCTCTCCTTCATAAAAAGGCTTTTGGTGAGATTTGTCTTCTGTGGCTGAATATTGCTGGTTGTGTTTACACATTCTACCCAATCAACAAACTTGCAGCAGGACTCATGCTGCCTTATCTTGGTTGGGTTACACTGGCTACAGCTCTTAACTATTGCATCTGGCAAATGAACAAGCCAGCCATAAAAGAAGAGTGAAGCCTTCAAGAACTACTGGATCAGTTGTCTTAGTTATGCAGAAATCACCAACAGTAATCCTCAGGGATATAAATCATAATTAGGTTAGAAGTAATAATAATAATAAGTTGAAATTGATGATTATATAAAAATAAAAGTGTAGTTCCACATAGGAATTTGGTTTTTAATGCAAAGTTTTGGAAAATATGTCATTCTTAATCAAACTTGTGTATTCAAAATGTGGATATATTTGAGCATGATATTGTCGGTACTGAATTCCGTCTCCATGTATTTTTGAAAGTCTCTATGGACTTGACAATATGTTAATGAGGTGAAGTGCAGTTTCTTCAGGGCTGCCATGCTTTCCTAGGCTGAAAATTAAGACTACATGGCTTGAACCTTCTTAAAATAATATTATTGTTTATCAGCCAACTGATTGTATTTGAGTTCCATTCTGAAGATGCATGTTAGATTAACAATTTTAATACAAAACAACTGATAGATTTGTGTTTGCCATATGAAATTATCAAAATGCTGATGTACAAGAGAAAACATGATCCCAAAAGTGATCTTTTCCATAGTAAGGAATAACAGCTCTTCAATTAGTAATTTATAATATTTTTGAAAAATAAAAGCCATTTTTGTGTTCAACTGTGTTATCTCACATCCTATACCTACAGAGGAATTTCCCCCACACCTAACCCCTTTTGTATTACCATGTTGTCTTGGTAACTACTCCTGTATAGTGTTTATGTTTGTGCTGGGAAAAGAGGAGAAAGGAGAGGATGGAAAAACAACCAAGGGAAGTGCATGTTTAAGTTCACAGTGGGATCACAGCATGCCCCTTACCTGTTGGGGTAATTTATAACTCATTTCACTTTATTTTCAAAATAAAATAATTTACTACAGATGTTATATAATTTACAATTATCTTAATTAACTGGTATAAAACTATGTAAAATGAACATACAAACTCCTATTTTGGACAAACTGCAGATTTTCTATATGGGTGTGACTTACTTTTAAAAATCCATTTGACTTTCCTTTAAAAAATATTGATTTGCTCCTGATACAAAATGATTTACAGGTGTTTTTTACCCAACTGCTGGAAAATTGAACGAAGATTAACTTTTGACCTTCATTTTTAGGATGGTAACACAAAATATGTATGTAACTGTAATAAGTAATTGAACATCCTCTTAAGGCCAATTAAAGATGGTTTCTAATGCTGTCTTCATATTATTTACTTTAATTAGTTTATTTAAGTATGATGGCCTACTACAAATGCATAGAGTCACACAGTTTGAAGTGTAAACATACTGAAACCCACATACCACTCCATGTAAACCTATCAATGTCATGAGCAGATCCAATAGACCCTTTTCAAAAGGAGTAATCCAGAGGAGAAAACAAAAATTGTTACAAGAAAATATACAATTCCTAACTAAGCAGGTAAACAATACCAAAGGCTGTTACAGTTTCCTTATTTTGAGTAACACTTGGCTGAATGAAAATTATACTCTTGAATAGAGTGTATTCATGTGGTTGCTTGTGTAATCAACTGCCATTTAGAAGTAGCGTCTGATGGGTAAATTTAATATCACCAATGATTACTTGTGCACAAGGCAAAGGATACAGCATTTTCAGTTCAATAAACATATTGTCTGTTTGCATCACGAGGTAGCTCAATGTAGTCGCCATCTTCCACTTTGACTTTAAGGTAACCGCTACCTCCCTTTTTTGCTTTGACAAAGCCTTCCTTTAAAAAGTGATTAATCTGCAAAGAAAGGGAAAAGGGCATACTTATTCCCATATTGCAAACCAATGTAAGTGACAGGACAATGCCAGACAAAGGGAATTGAAAGCATAAGCAAAACTTTCAGTCAGGTTTCAGTTGGTTTTGGTGACCATTGAAGGTATGTGGCATGAGTTCATCGGTTTTGAGTTGTCCATTCTCGAAGGTCTACAGCTTTTTTCAGTTTAAACTGATTGTAGAGCTCTGCAAGTTTTCTTTTGATCAATTCCAAGGCTCTGCACACCTTTCTCTTCAAGTTTCCTTTATTTGTAACCTTTGTCAGATCTCTTTTAAGGGTTTCCATTTGGACAAATCACAGAGTTCTTTAGATTGTTCCTCTTAAGTGATACCTTTGATTAATCTTTTTTTTTTATCCAATTGCAGATCTCTACAGAATTGTTGTCATAAAAAAAATTGCAGAGCTCTGGACAGATATCATTTCAACCTTTTGCAGAGCTTGGAAGAATTTTCTTCTTAATCAGTCACAGAGCATTGAAAATTTTTGTTTACCTTTTAAACAGTCTCAGTTTGTCAGGTCTTCAGTACAAATCATGAAAATAGATTTTTCATGTTTAATCAAAACAAAAAAATTACTTTGAACATGAAAACCATGTTTGAACAAACCTTGTTTCTGTTGTGATATCCAAAGTAGACTGCCACTATGAAAACCAACATCACCATAAAAAGCACTGGAAAGCTTACTCTATGCTTTATCAGCTGAGATAGTCCACTGAGAGTGAAAATAGCCATAAATTCAGAGATAAGATATTATTGATCTAGCATTTGGTTTTCAGAATACTTAATGTTAACAAACAATGACAAAGTTTGAGAAATCAAGTCAACTAGCTCAACTGAGAAAGTTATCTCTTTCTGTGAGGTTTTTTTGAATTTGAGCAGATTAGGAAAAACAAAAAGCAAAAAATTAAGAAAGTGAGGGAGAACAGAAAAAAAAATAAAAGAAGAGAATATATGGCAAAGCAAAATAAGAGAAGTGAGAAAAAATATATAGTGAGAACAGAAGAAAAGAAGAATAAGAACAAAAGTAAACTAAAACAAGTTCTATGATTAAAGTTGTCTTACCTTCCAGGATTAACACTGGGACTGTGGTTAGTAGAATTGCTTTTGCCTTAAAAAAGAAAAAAAATGAGTCTCAGGAAAACTGAATTCGAAATTTACAAGATGGGGAAAAAACAATCAGAAAGCGTTTGTCTTTTCCTGATTATATGTAAAATACACTTCATGAAGGAGTTTTTAAATTTTTTTTTAAATACGGATGTCCTAATTTAATTTTGTTACGGAAAGCTTGAAGAAATAATTTATAGGGCACAGATATATGCTGTGGTTCAATTATATCCTTGGTTCAAATTTTATTTCCTTTTGTTCCAAATTCGTTTTCATACATTACAATACCCGAAAAAAAAAGAAAATAAAATTTGAACTGAGGATAAAATTGTACCACAACATATATATCCATGCGGTTCAAATCAAGGATATCACGTACCGTCCGATCACTAAGAGGTTCTGCTCAACAATCACTTTATTTGGGCGGATGCGCGAATGCACGTTTACTAAAAGTAACCTACGTAGTAAGTAATTTCTCCAGTAGTTACGATGTGCTTATTGATTCATACCTGTCTGTGTGGTGTTTGTTGTCGATTCTGTTGTATTATTTGCTTTTGTAATCACAGGTTTTGGCGTAATTTTTGCATTCGTTGCTTTTTCAGTGGTTTCTTCTGCAGTCTTTTGTTTAATAGTATTTGATTTTGTAGTCGATGGTTTTGTGGTTGATGCCTTTGCAGTCGTTGTAGTCGTTAGTTTTAAAGTCGACGATTTTGTAGTCGGTGGTTCTGCGATTGTTGCTTCTGTAGTCGTTGGAATTGTAGTTGTTTGTTTTGGAATCGTTTCTGTGGTCGTTGCTATTGTAGTTACTTCTGTTTCAGTCGTTGGCTTGCTGGTCGTTGGTATTGCAGTGGTAGATTTTGCCGTAGTAGATTTTGTTTTTGGTTCTGTATTCGTAGATTTTGTAGTCGTTGCTTCTGGAGTCGTTGGTTTTGCATTAGTCGATTTTGACATCGATGTTGCCGTTTTGGCAGCTGTTTTCTGCAGAGGCTCTGTAAATGTGGAGTTCGTTATCTGTGTCGACGAAGAGTCACTTGCATCATCTTCTTGGTTTTCCTTTAGCAGCGCTGCTACCCTGCATTCAATAGAAAGAGAAAGAAACTTCAATATTCAATGCCGGATTATATTGGCTTAGATATCAACAAATGAATCAACCTAAATAAGACATGATACGGTAAAGACTGATTCAAAAGGTGCATTAAAAATGACTTAGGTTGTTGCGTGAACTAAGTCATGTGGGATGATTTACGAAGGCAGGAATTGTTAACATAGCCCTAATAAGAGAACTGGCATGGTCTGATTCATATAGGATATGTGCAATTTTACGTCCCTAAACACCTTATCATGATTAAAGCCTGGTATCTAAGTAGTCAAGTTTTATAAGCTATTGACCCAAAAAAAGAAAAAAAATTCTTCCCCAAAGTAATAATGAACACTGATTATGTACCTTGCTCACTCTGTGGTGCTATAGTGCAGTGTCAGCAAAACTGAGCGATATCTATCCCCATAAATGACGCACAATAGGGTTAACATAACGACGTTAACATAACCAGTCGCCCGTTATATTTTTGCCTTTTCAAAACTTAATTGCCAGTGTCTTCGTAATAATTCATTGAAACTTACTGCAACAGAGTCTTATTGCCAAAGCGTCGTCTTGCATCAGGTTGGTTTCGGAAGAATTTAAGGACTACCCTTTTCAATTCCGCTAAGAGAAAACAACAGAAAGTAGTTAGCTTACCAAGTCATCTTTCATCGTCACCTCGCAGGCTATCTTAACGTGGAGATTTATTTAAACAAAGAGAAGACTTAATTTGGAATGGAAATATATCCTAATATTTAATTGACCGTGGACACACGTGATCGGTTAGGAGAGGTAAAGAGCGATGAATCCGAGAGCTTTGAGAGTAAATAATGGCCCATTTTCGCGCCTCTACATTTTTCATGTAGATAGCCCTTTTTTGCAGTCAAAGGATTTTTTTCGCCGCGTTTACGTGGGCAGGTCTTCTCTCCAACATATTGGAGTTACACTTGAAAAAACGCTTCTTGATTCTTCCACTAACTGAGGGCTTGGAACTTGCATTGAAAGGTACTAACTTGCGTGACAGTCGTTCGGTCGTTACCGTTCGTGCCTGGAACTTGGATACTTAAAGTTCTATTCTCTTTCTCAGATTATGCCTGAAAATACGTGCGAATTATATAGAAAGACTTAATTGAAGTAAGGATGGAAAAATCCTGCGGTGAACCATGCTCCTCGAGTTCTGATGCGAGCAATATTTGAACATGCTGTGTTTTGTTTGTCACGCTGAGATGAGTGAAACGAAACTGTTAAACGGCTCTTTGAGAGCGGCTAACTTTCGCTTAGAAACGATACTTATAGGTAGATGAGAACAAAGTCACATGTTTCTTTACTACATAGTTGACAAAATTTGTGAATGACATACCCAAAGTAACGTTTGGTGTCTGCGTCGTGTTCTCACTCGATGATATGAAGGGTAACTTTCCAAGGCTCAAAGTTATGAAAATTACTGCATTTAACTGCAGTCTCATTTTGAATGAGTTCTTCCAAGCACAGTCCCCAAATATCTGCACTAAATTTCTGAAAAGTTCTTGCCTGAAAACGCAAATATTCGAGTAAAAGAAGAGCTGCACTTTGAAACGTTCATATCCCGGAAACCGAAATTAGTCATGATTCTCGGGATCACGAGTGAATATTATGTTGGTCTCGATAAGGCCCTGGGAACAAGTGTAACCGAAGGACAAGAGTCAATCATGTTATACCGCAGAACTTAATTTAAATATTCCCTATACAAGAAGCCATAAAAAACGCCAAAGGAGAAAAAAAAAAAAAAAAAAAAGACTGAAGAAGGTCAACATTGCAACATATTTCCGCCAAATTTCAGACTCCTCTCTCTTTCCGATTATAAATGAAAGCTGCGTCAAATTTCGAATTACTCCGTTCGATTTGGGAGTTACTACATCACGGGCGACGAGCGGGGCAGGAAGAAATGACCGAAATACAAGTGGTCAGCGGGAAAACAACTTTAATACCTCATATAGAGACATATCAGTTGTAGTTTCAGAAAGCAATAGTGTTGTAAAGCCGAAATGTGAACAGTATACTTCGCTTAATAAAATGTGAAACAATTTTTCAAAAGTGTTGATGGCACATATATCTTTTACTGCTATATTAAACAATGCAGGTATCGGGGAAGGCATCGGAAGGCAATCGTATTGTAAAGCCAAAATGTTACCAGGTTATACTTCGGTAATTCAAAAGTTAAGCAATTTTCCAAACGCTTTGACTGGAACAATATTTTTACTGCTATATTAACCAACAGAGGCATCGAGAAAGGCATCGGTGACACCGGGAAAGGCATCAAGAAGAATGATATTTACGATAAGTAACTTGTTGTATGACGAAAAACAGCATCTTGACTTGCTTAAGGCATAAATCACAGTCGGTTTGCTTTTCACTTGAATTTTGCAATCTCGACTTTCGATTCCGGAAAAATGAAAAGCTAAGCAACACTAAAAAAATTTCGTTTCAGATTTTTATATTTTTAGAGTCATTAATAAGTTTGTATCCACAGCCTTTAGATAAGAAATTTTAAATTTCCATCTGCTGTAGTTCTTTTAGTGTATTTTATATATATTCAATCGCCTCGTTTCACGTGAAAAAGGCATTTAGGAAAACACTGAGCTTCGAGAAACAGCCAAGTTAAGGCTAATGTATTTACCATGCTTAAATATTTATAATCAGGGCCACTCGTTTAGGAGACCTTTTTTCAAAAGACCCAGGCGTTAAAATAATTCTGTTTTCCGTTCCAAGTGTTTTTTTTCTTTTTTATTTAACAAATGAACTCGGGATGAAAACTTTCGAAGCGAACGGCAGGTGAAATGTTGTGTTAGTGTCTCTGCCCCCCCCACGTCTCTGTGAAAGGTACATCCAGACAACCTGCATGGAAAAACTGATCATAGCTATCGCACTACATTTTTAAAAAAAATCTTTAAAACTAAACTGGTTAGCAGCACTCTGCGAACGGTAGTTGTAAAATTTCTTTATTCTCCGACGCGTTTCGTTTAACTGTCGTAGACTTCTTCGGGGACTTTTACAGTTTAACACTAAATAACTGTATTTATAAGCCATAGTTAGTGGCTATACGGAAGCCAATGACCATATAGGCTTGGCCGGACCTACGAATAGGAACTGGTGAAGTTGCGGAAAATTTGAAAATATTTTGGGGCAAGGTGGGAGAATTCATTTGGGGACCACGGTTTTGGTTTTCTTTTTTCGTCACGCAGCAAGTTACAAAACGTAAATATAATTCTTCTTGGTGTCTTTCCAGATGCCACCGATGCCTTTTCCGATACCTCCATTGTTTATTACAGCAGTAAAAGATATATGTGCCATCAACACTTTTGAAAAATTGCTTAACATTTTATTTAGCGAAGTATACTGTTGACATTGATATGTCTCTATATGAAGTATTAAATTTGTTTACCCGCTGACCACTCGTATTTCGGTCTTTTCTTCATCCCCCACTCGTCGCCCGTGATGTAGTAACTCCCGTTCGATTTCGGACGCTTTGATCTGATTTCGTACGACTCCACCCGATTTCAGGCGCCTCCTCAACACTTATGTCTAGGAAATAAAAAATCACCCACTAATGTCAAAAATCAGAAATATACCACGGGTGTCTAAAACCAAAACTCGGCCACTAATGTCCTAAATCAAAAATCTGTCACGGGTGTTCAAAACCAAAGATCGGCTACTAATGTCCATAATCAAAAATGGGCCATTAGTCTCCAAAATAAATAAAATTGGCCACCAGTGTCCAAATTAATCAAAAATGGGCCACTAGAGTCTAAGATCATAAATCGGCCATAATAATCTGTGAAAGATATTTCAGATTTTCAGCTGTAAACATTCAGAGTTCACTTCATTCAGTGTTCGAAATCGAAAATTACCCAGTAGTGTCCAAATTGAAAATCTGTCACTATGGTCCAAAATTATAAAAAACGGTTACTAGTGTCCAAAATCGAAAATCAACCACTGGTGGCCAAAATTACGTACAAAAAATCGGCCACCAGGGTCCAAAATAAAAAATCAGACACTAATCGGCCACTGGGGTTTAAAGGGCATGTAAACCCAAAAAAGTTCTTCTGCTGTTTATTTACTCTCAAAGCTCTCGGATTCATCGCTCTTTACTTCTCCTAACCGATCAAAGGTCAGTAGGACAATATTTATCATTTTTAGTACAACTTAAAAGATCCCGATTTCAGCTTGCAAAACTATATATCTTTTCAGTATTTCAAATCGAAGCAAACACAAACAGGGTTGGATAATTATGAAGGCCACACAAGGAAATGTACACGTTACAACTTGTTTATCGATGAAAATGCTTCGGAGATGAAGGAAAGCAATTCATAAATATGTCATAAAGAATGGGCACAACCGCCAGTGCTGTAAGACATAAATAACTAAGGTCTGCATTTACAAATACCTTTGTTTCTCTCAAAGTTTTGGCGGTTTTAATCCAGTGTACGACGATCCAAAATCCGCTGGAAGAGTGTTTCGGATATTGTTTACCGCTCAAGATGGCACAGCGACCCTAAAATATTTGCCGAGATAATCCCAATACCAACGAACAAGCTATCTGTAGGCAATTTAGCGAAATTTCCTGCCAGGAAAGAAGCGAAAAAAAAATTTCTGTAGTATTGTACTGTATTACTAAATCAATGACGGAAACAACTCGAGCAAATCGACCTCAAAACCTTTGATATTTTATAAAACACCCTCGGAAGCTCAGGTTAAAAACATTTTTGTTGCATTCTTTTGATTGTACCCTTACTTTATTGGATTTTCAAGTCAAATACAAATAAATGATACAGTAAATTAAATACCAGTCTGAGTTTCCGAGAAGGTCGCATAGCCGTCAAAATGTTCTGTACCGTCTTCGTGCGGTTCGCTTTGGTGAACCTTACGCGGCTCATATTGTTAAGGACGTGGTCTAGACTCTCCTAAAAATTCTGGATTATCCCCATCGCTATCATATGCTAAGCTTAAGGCATTCGAGTCGCTATCTTCTGGAAAAACATCTTCCGAACTACTGCTACTTACACCAGCTCCCACACCAGTTCTACTAGGGAATTTGTGTTGCGCAATAATGTCCGATTTTCTCCTTAAATAAGTCGAATTGGACAAAACAAATTTCAAATTCGTTTTCTACGCCACTTTTTACATAGTATAAGAAAAAAATGTATTTTTGGGTTTTCATGTCCTTTAAAATAAAGAATCGGCCATCCGTTTTCAAAATCAAAAATCGGCCACTTGCCAGGGTAGTTGGTATGCTGATCCGTCAGAAGCAGCGCACGCACAACGCACCAGGACCTCCTTCTGAGTCCTTAACTTCTGAGTGCATATTACTTCGGACAGTATGTGCTCTCAGTATGTCCAGACTGACGCCTTTTTTTTTTCTCTTTTTATATAAGGGCCCTAAAGATGTTCGAGATAATGATGACGTCATTGTCACTCAGCAAGGAACGTAGAGACAGGATAAGGGCCTAAGGATGATCGCAGTATTGCTCCTTCGACTGGTCAGGCTTTTAAGGGACTGAGTGTTTCAACTTTTGAAAAATACAAATTTTACTTACATCGTAATTCTGAAAGTTCACAAGGCCCCACTAAGTTTACACCTTAGTAACCGCCTAAGCTCCCAACGGAACACTCAACACATCCATCGAAGTATCCCTTCGGTGACTCTGGCAACCAGTTATCACAATAAACAAGTGAAGGCCAAGCATTTAATCCATTTTGTTTTTCTTATGAATTACATACAGAACTTTGTCAAATAATACATTAGAGCCCACGGACTAGCAACGGAGGCTAGTCCATCGCAATAAACCTTACACCACTGAAGATTGAAGCCTTTAGAAATATGAAGAATTATGAAAGGCAAAAGCAACAACAAAAGTCCGGCATATTAATTCTTATAAAACACTTTCATCAAATACTGGCCGAAAGTCGTCTCAAAAATCAGCAATGAATGGTTAACTTTTGATCGAGTACGTTTCCCATTCTATCACCTTTGTCTGTTTGTTTTGACGTATTGCTACATATTTTGTCCTTTTTTGTAAATAAACTAATTTCTTCTCAATTTACAGAAATTCTAATACACGTATGTCGAGTTTGCACTTTTCAGTGACGGCATGGCTTCTTCTACGTTGGTTTCCAGTTTCCTGTAACCGCGTCTCCTGCTACTGCCATCAGTCTTGCCCTCTATAATGATTGCTATAATCTGCATTGAAACAAAATTAGATTATACATTGAATTCGCGATCAAACACCTTACATTCATAATCCAGATGAAAGATTGTATTAATAGATTCACTACAATTCTCGAGCTCGGATAAGTGCACACCACTGAAGCCCCTTCATGAAGAGAAGAGAGGGACTAGTAAGGAGACAGAACAGGGTGACAATAGCAAGCATAATGAAGTGGCTTATGTAATGTGCCAAGAGTAAGGCCTCTTCTGTTGTGTTAGGCAACAGGAGCTTCTTTGTAGCTGTTTTTCTAGAAAGTCACACAATGCTGTCTACTCAGGGGGGAGTGTTGTGTGACGTCCCAAAAAAGGCTGCAGAGGAGACCAGCACTAGTGCCCAATCCTTCAGGAATAGGCCATGCAGACTAATACTGAGCAAAGCACTTCGTAACAGCTCTTAATTTAAATGCATATTCGCATGAATATTTTATTGTCTCAAACGTAAACTTTACAACTAGTTAATCACCCTTCCGATTTTGCCAAGTGAATTTCACTCCACATATATGCCACTTTGCTACCTCCCATTGATTATTCAAGTAGTTGTAACTTAACTTAAAAATCAGAGAGGAGGCATATACTGTTTATTAAGTTCCCTAAATTAATTTTGTTAAAAAAAAAAAAAATTAGAACAGTTACCTTTTGTCTGTTGTGGTACAGAGCATAAGCAGCAAAAACCATTACAATAGAAGTTAGGAAATAGGCAGCAAAGTGACTTGACCTGTGTTCATACGAGTCTGAGCCACGATAGATGCTATGGGGAAAAAAAAAAAAAAAAAAGGAAAGAGAAATAACTTTAAGAACTAAGCTTTTTTTCAAATGAAATAAATGTCTCTCTTCTAAACTAAGTGCAAAGCCTTTGATTTAAAAAGACTTGATTCTCCCACAAATGAAACTTGTTTTTGAACTTGGACTTGACCTTTTTGGACTTGGACTTCACCCCAAATGGCACTCAAAATGTCAGCTTTAGAAACTCTTCATGGTGGGTAAATTTACATTATCAACTCAGTTACCAAAGCCAAATTATCTTGTAATACCCCCAGTAACTCCCTTGATTAATTTTAGTACCTACACCTCCTGAACTGCCTCATAATTGATTTTTTTTGTGTGAGACTTATCTCTGAAAAATTGAAACCAAGTCCATCTTGCTAAAAGGCTTGGTCATGGGAAGATAAGGAAGTAGCCCAATAATTAGGACCCAAAATCACAGACCCCTACCCTACGGAGGGTGGAGCTAACTTTTGCAAAACTTGGAAAGGTTAACCTTCTAATGACTGATTTAACAATTCAAAAGAACAAAAATCTTACCCCTTCTTTGCGTAATCTTCAGGACGAAAACCCAGGCTATCCTCAAGGTCCTCCTGCATTGGTGACAGAGACATAACTATGTCAAATTCATGTTACTTTTGTCAGGGTTAAGAAATAATGCAGCAAGCAACAAAATTCACCTCAACATTCACACAAATCCTCTTCACTATCCTTCATACCTTTCTTTAAATTAAACACTGAGAATTTTATGTGAAATCAAACAATATCCTATGGATGATATTTTTTTAATTCTTCTCATCACCTTTCTTTTTATGAAAAAGTATCGATATAGCCAGGACAATAATTTTTGGACACTCCTAGAGTGAAAGGATTAAACATAAAGGCATACTTATGATACTTTTACTATGATGCAAAAGAAAGATTGCAAACTTTGTAACTTCCTGCTTTACTAGCTAATACATGTTCATGTAAGTGTGTATGTTTTCATCAATTTTGCAAAGACATTTTATTAGAAGTTTTTGAGAGTCAATATCCTGCAGAAAGACATTCTCTGGCACAAAAAACTCTTTCAAGTGTATCATTGGTTGCTGGCATGGTCAATTATAAACTTCTACAGGTCAAGTTTCAAATAACTGTGTTGTCATATAAACACCCTGTCACTCCAAATTAGCTAATTTAAGAAAACTACTCGACAGAAAGCGCAAATACCTGTCCCCTTCGATAGCCTTCTGATTGTCTTCCTCTGTTATTCTGGTTTTTTTCTGATTCATCATCTCTACCACCTTTCCTGGAATCTGGCTGAAGATTTTTCTCTTCTGAATCTGTACTTCCCCTGTTAGGAGATTGGGGCATAGCATTCTCTTTTTCTTCAGCTGCTGAGGATGGTTCTTTGACTAAATCTGCATTTCCCCTGTTAGGAGATTGGGGCATAGCATTCTCTTTTTCTTCAGCTGCTGAGGATGGTTCATTGACTAAATCTGCATTTCCCCCTTCATGAGACTGAAGCACAGCATTCTCTTCTTTTGAATTACCACTTTCAGCTTTACCAGACTTGAGCTTCAGATTCCCATTTTCTTTGAGTGCTTGGGTCTTTTCATTGAATGAATCTGCATTTCCCCTTTCAAGAGATTGGGGCATAGCATTGTCTTTTTCTTCAGCTGCTGAGGACTGTTCATTGACTGAATCTACATTTCCCCTTTCAAGAGACTGGGGCATAGCATTGTCTTTTTCTTCAGTTGCTGAGGATGGTTCATCAACTAAATCTGCATTTCCCCTGTTAGGAGATTGGGGCATAGCATTCTCTTTTTCTTCAGCTGCTGAGGATGGTTCATTGACTAAATCTGCATTTCCCCCTTCATGAGACTGGAGCTGGAGCACAGCATTCTCTTCTTCTGAATTACCACTTTCAGCTTTAACAGACTTGAGCTTCAGATTCCCATTTTCTTTGAGTGCTTGGGTCTTTTCATTGACTGATTCTTTTTGTCCATTTTTATTTAACCCAGATGTAAGATCCCCTTTTTCTTCAGATACTTGGGATTGTCCCTTTTCTGAAGCTGTACTACCATTGTTATTGGACATGGACATAGAATTCCCTTCTCCTTGAGAAACTTGGGATTTTTCATTAAATGACTCTTCACTTCCACTGTTACTAGATCCAGATGTACGACTCCCTTCTTTTCCAGATACTTGGGTGAGTGCTTGGGTCTTTTCATTGAATGAATCTGCATTTTCCCTTTCAAGAGACTGGGGCATAGCATTGTCTTTTTCTTTAGCTGCTGAGGACGGTTCATTGACTGAATCTGCATTTCCCCTTTCATGAGACTGGAGAATCACAGTCTCTTCTCCTTTAGGTCTGGAGGATGATTCATTGACTGAATCTGCATTTCCCCCTTCATGAGACTGGGGCATAGCATTCTCTTCTTCTTTAGGTGCTGAGGAAGATTCATTGACTGCATCTGCATTTCCCCTTTCAAGAGACTGGGGCATAGCATTGTCTTTTTCTTCAGCTGCTGAGGATGGTTTTTTGACTAAATCTGCATTTCCCCTGTTAGGAGATTGGGGCATAGCATTCTCTTTTTCTTCAGCTGCTGAGGATGGTTCATTGACTAAATCTGCATTTCCCCCTTCATGAGACTGGAGCACAGCATTCTCTTCTTCTGAATTACCACTTTCAGCTTTAACAGACTTGAGCTTCAGATTCCCATTTTCTTTGAGTGCTTGGGTCTTTTCATTGACTGATTCTTTTTGTTCATTTTTATTTAACCCAGATGTAAGATCCCCTTTTTCTTCAGATACTTGGGATTGTCCCTTTTCTGAAGCTGTACTACCATTGTTATTGGACATGGATATAGAATTCCCTTCTCCTTGAGAAACTTGGGATTTTTCGTTAAATGACTCTGCACTTCCACTGTTACTAGATCCAGATGTATCATTCCCTTCTTTTCCAGATACTTGGGACAGTTTAATCCCTGAATCTGCACTTTCATTTTTACTGGATCCAGATGCATGACTCCCTTCTTCATTGGATGCTTGAGACTGTTCATCGACTAAACCTATACTTTCATTTTTACTGGATCCAGTCATATGATTCCCTTCTTTATTAGATGCTTGGGACTGCTCACTAAGAGAATCATTACTTCCATTTTTAATTTTTAACTCTACTGTAAGATTCTCTCCTTTCTGAAATGCTTGAGGCAGTGAATTTGTACTTCCACCTTTACTGGATTTTAGCACAATTTTTTCTTTGTCTTTAGATCCTTGAGACTGTTTACTGAATGAATCTGCATTTCCCCCTTTACCCAACTTAGGCATCAGATCCTTTTTTTCTTCAGGGCCAGTAGACTGTTGGCTGACTGACTCTGTGTTTTCATCATTTCTGGTCTTTAGTTTACGATTCCCTTTTTCTTGCAATGATTGGAATGGTTTACCAGCTCTCTTTTTATCCACCAATCTGTTTCCTTTTGCAGTCATCCCAGTTCCAGTATTCGTTTCTTGTCTTGAAAAACCTGCAACTTTATATGTCATACAAATTGGTATAATGATACTAAACAGATTGCTGATTCTATTAACAATGATCATATCTCTAACAAATAAGTCAAGGAGAGGAGAAAGGTTTACTTAAGCAATACATGTGCTATGTATTTTGTATTAGTGAAGATAATAAGAGATGCCTCTAAACAAAAGTCTAGAGGTATCATAATAAAATATCTAGTGGAAGGGAAGATTGAGGAATATAAACTACAAAACCCACCTGATATAATTTTGTATTACTCATACAGACAACCTACCTTCTGGTCCTGTGCAATTTCTTTTACAGTCATCTTTAGTCTTAAAGTTGTTGTTGTTGCCTTTGCATCCCCCAAAAATAAATTTTTCACATTTTCTTGTAGTGGCATTGTAATACCATCTTGGGAGTGCCTGTCGACATGGCCCAGTGTCTGGTAAAGATTAGAGAAAAATCAAAACCTGAATAATGTATGCATTATCCTCTTTGCTTAGGGTCCCCAGCTCTGAGGTTGCCCTTTAGCAAACTTAATTCATATTAATCATTCCTCCAACTTCAGACCAATTTAAACTCTACGTAATGAGAAGAGTACACCTATTTACATGACTGCCAAATGTAAACTAGTTACTAATATTATTTTTCCTACTCGCCATGGCAACAACACTGACTCCAGCTTGGAGTGCTCTACTTTGGCAACACCTCAACATTAATTCCCATAAAAACATGGAGGGAAAGGATCCACAGGGTAAATCATGCATTAAATAAATACCACCAACACTATTGAGAAAGAATACTACACAGTTGCGAAAATCTTTCTAAGACACTAACAGGTACTTGATGTTCTTAACTTGTTATTACGAAGCTACGAAAAATTTCATGTCATGTCGGATGAACAGAATGTGCTATCCAGTAGCTTAAGAAAATTATTTATAACTGTAATATACAAGCTTCCCAATGTAGTGTCTTGGCACTCCGTGAGTCTCTATAGTACTTCATAAGAACGTAGAAAAAAATTGTGCGGTAGTTTTCCAGATCAAAGTTTAAAATGAATTTCAAGTCTAAAGAACTTTAATCTAGCTTAATTTTTTTCTTTTATCAGCGCAAATTACCGTCATTGAAAAACGTCTTTCATTAGGAAAATAGAAAGGAAAATTGGTTTAAACCATTTGAACCGAAGTAATTTAAAAACATCTCGTTCTTGCGTTACAACGGCAATCGTGCACGTTGTAAGATAAAAAGCTGCAACGATTGAGACGCTACTTCAGAAAATAAGGAGTGACAGATAAATCTTACCCATAGGCTGTCTGCAAATCGAAGACTGATTTGGAATTGCCCTTCCAAAGGAGAGAAAAATCCATACAAAGAGAGAAAGCAAAACCGGTTCGATCGCTATAACTCTCATATCTTCCAAAGAAGAAAACTGATCCAAATTCCGATTCGTTATATCACTCTTGCAGTTTACTGCATCCAAGAACTACTAAGGTGCGTCTTTAAATATTTAATGGGAAAAACACGCTTAATTCGTCATCTCCAACGTCGAAATGTTGAGATACGCTGAATTATTCTAGGAATAGCACACGTCTCAATGACATCATTGACGCGGAGTCCCGGGCTCTAGATGAACTGCTCATATCTTTTTGTTTTTACCTGCTGACTGACCAAAGACTCATCTATTTTCAAAATGGCCTCTATCCACAGCGTAACAAACGGTGACACTGGAAAGTATGTTGATATTGACGGTCATAGAGTGAGGAAATACGATCTAAGGCTTTCGAGGATTCCACAACTCGACTACAATGACCCTCGAGTGGAATCAATAATCGCAAATGAGGTTAGTTTGACCACTACGTATACCGTCTCAGCTCAAGTATTTGCTTACATACGAGTGGGCATGTACAGGTTGAGGAAATGCTTGATTCATACAAAACTAATTGTATATCTTTTAAAACGAGTGAAGGTCTGTAGGGATTACAGCTGGAGAGCTTGGGTGACTCAATGAAATCCCTTATATTCAGTTAATCTGTCGTAATCGCTCACTTCCATGTAGCCCTCCACAGTCCAGTTGCAAGAAGTCAACATCTCTCAACATGAGCGTAGGGCTTTTTAATCGACATCCTCAACCCTATCTTCTCCAAATCCAATAAAAATATGTAGATATCTTTATAGGGGTTCACAAGTGGATCAGTTTTTTTTTCTCTTTTTTTCCTAGAAGCTGGCTTATAAACACCTCTGATCCTTAATTTTTTAAGGAAACTTCAATAAACCACCGTAAGGAAAGCAACCTATTGAACAAAATTTGGTGTGAAAATATAATACATTTAGAGAAAGATTTTTTTCATCTTTCCATGAGCCAAAGACAAAGGAAAATTGTGGGTGTCCATGAGTCCCCATGGGAAATCAAACGTTAGACACATGTATTCTGTGCTCAGAATTTTTTCTTTGTTCCACAGCCATGAAAAGATGAAAGGCATCTTTTTCCATCTGTTTATCAAGCTCAAACTTTACCATCTTTCTCATTCTATCTATAATGCACTTTGCAAGCTAAGGAGCCTTTGCAATAGTGATATTATATCATCATATGCAATTAGAAAATTGCTAAATTATTCATCCATTAATAATATACATGGAAAAATTACTCAGTTTTGATTGGTTAAGATAAATGCAGTTTTCAGGTAATTCAGTGCAGAAGAGAGTTAATTCAGTGCAGAAGAGGGTTAATTCAGTACAAAGAAAGAAACAAATCAGACATTCTGATTGGTCAATAATCAAAGAAACTCACAGATAGCCAATCAAATGGGAGCCTTGGATGTCGCAACAAAATTTGAAAATTTGAAAATTTGCAAGTGAAACAATGGCTGGCGTTTGAAGTAGGTTTTCTTTCGCCACTGCAGCTGAAAAACAGCTTAAACAACGAAAACACTGTAAAAAGCACTGCTTTTTGGTTGCCAGTTTGGAAAAGTGGTGTTTAGAGAAGGGAATTGCTGAGGAAATTGAAAATTATGAGCTGACTTAGCTTAACACTTTGCTCGAGCGATCCAACACTGAAATTAAAAACAAACATGGTTAAAGCTCGGAAACAACAATTCCATTTCATCGAAAATGATTCATACACAGATTGAACAATTCCTTGAACTGTTTAGCCAGACTTTCAACTTTTTTGCACCTTAACTTAAAGATGTGAAGATATTATTGCATATTATTGTTTTGATCATATGTGGTTGTTTTGACTGAACGCACGGTTTGAATAAATTATTTTTTTCACTTGATGCGCGGGCTTTGCTTATGTTTGATTATAATAGGCCATCTTGTATTTTCCCATGCATATTATTAACACATAATTGCATGATTTTTCTCGTGCAATTTGGAATAAACAAGCACTAGTTAATTTTTTCAAAGACCACAAATTGCACTCGCCCCACGGGCTTGTGCAATTTTGTTAGTCTTTAAAAAAATTTCCTCGTGCTTATTTATTCATAATTGCACTCAAAATCATGTGATTACCTATACTAATTTGTTTTCTTGCAGGAACCAGTGCTTCTAAAAAATTCAGATATCGTAGGAACAGCTCTTAAATGGGACTTGAACTATCTTAAAGAGAACCTTGGTCAAGGATCTTTCACTGTTTATTCTTCTAAAACACACAAGTTCATGTACTGCGATGACAAACGAACCAAAGATTGGCCCAACTTTGTTCCACCAACTCAGAGAACTGACATGAAATTTGAAAGCTTTTGTACAAGGATTTCCAACTTCAAACCATCAGATACGCGTTTGTACTTGCAACAGATGCTTAATGATTCAGTGGGAAAAAATATTGTGAGAGACTTCCTGGGCTTTAAGTGGAGCTGGCTCACAAACATTCAAAAGAAAATGAAGTGGGGATCACTTACTTCTAATCTTCTTCTTATCGGCTTGCCTGGTAATATTACACCTGTTCATTATGATGAACAACAGAACTTCTTTTGTCAAGTGACAGGATACAAGAGAGTTATTCTATTTCATCCAGACCAATTTCAGTGTCTGTATCCATTTCCTTTGTATCATCCCTGTGACAGGCAAAGCCAGGTAAGCTGTAACAAGACAACATGATTTCTAGGATCTTTATGTTGTTGACATACATGTATAACATTCACAGTTACTTTTAATCCTACGACTCCTAAGAGTGACTAGCATCCAATCTCTCTTTACAATCACTCATGAATCACACATTAAGGTCACAAGTTAGAATAAAGGAAATGATCACCAACCAACAGATATTCATGTAAATAAATATTTATTCAAATTCATGCATGCATTTTCAACACATTAAGGTCACAAGTTAGAATAAAGGAAATGATCACCAACCAACAGATATTCATGAAAATAAATATTTATTCAAATTCATGCATGCATTTTCAAACACTTTGGATTTGAAAATCAAAAAAAAAAAACTTTTTCTTTTCTCATCAAAAAGGTGATGCATGATGCATGTATATTTCAGCTATTGTACTTTTCTTTAAAAAATTGTCCCTATGATTTTCTCTGTTTACACCTTTTTAATAGGAAAAGAAAAGGAGTACATATTTCATATACATTTTCAAATAAGAACATTTTTAAAATGGGTGTATACAAATGATAAATGAAAAGGAAATTTTGGGTTAATGCTAGATTATTAAACAAATTCTCATTATCAGCACCTTAAGAAATGTATTAAGAACAGTATGGAGAATATGCATACTAAAGTTAGGTTGTAAAGGACCAACCCTTTCATTCCTCAAAGATCTCATTTAATTAACAATCCTCCTTACTGTCTGCCAAACAACTTGTATGATTTTAGTTTTGGGAATTTTTTATTGGATCAACTAATAATCCCTTAACTGATAGTTTTCTTTGTTCCCATCACTGTCTGTGATGTGATTGAGTTGATTCCCACAGCTTTATGTTGTTACTACTAAATGTAAGAGATGCATTCATTTCCACTCAAACCTTAGAAATGGTTGCTGAGTGTACAAATTTCTCAATTAGTATTTTAATAACCGTACAGTTTTTTCGGAAGCTATCATGGTGAAGGTGGGTTAAAGTAGCCTGCTCTAAACTGATTCCACATTGCTGACACTTGTACTTGTCTCAAAAATAGGTTGATTTTGACAATCCAGATCACAAGAGATTTCCAAAGTTTAGATATGCAAAAGCTTTTGAAGTCATAGTTGGTCCTGGAGATGTTCTTTACATACCAATGTATTGGTAAGATTTGACTTTGAACATGTGGAGTTTGAAAGTCTCTGAGTCATGTTAATTACTGAAATTTTGACCAACAATTTGATGATCAAGGAATCCCTTAATCATTGAGTGACATGACACATGTTACCCTTCTTGCCCCCTGCCAGATTAGCAAAGTATTCAAAATGTTTTTTTAAAAATTTTTTTGGGCAATAGGTGGCACCATGTGGAATCAACAATAAATGGAGGGATCACCACATCTGTCAACTTTTGGTACAAGGTATAAATGATTTACATTATGCTATAATTTCAAACATTTCAGTTGACTGTATTCTAAGAAGTTTAAGAACCCAGGATCAGACAAGAATATACAGTAATTGCATAATGTACCATGCAGGAGGGGAAATATCAGCAGGAAATCATTCAATTTACTTATATGTTACATATCCATTCCACACATATCTACATGCTTGTGGAATAAAAATGATTTAGTGGTTTGGATTGTGCATATCATGGGATATTTGTTAGTGGAAACATAGTTAGAGAGACATATGTAGGAATATTGTGACCTGGTGGAAGTTTGGAAATAACTTATTTGAAAGGTTAATGTAAAGGGAGCTGAATGGATCAGAGAAGTTCCTTCTGCTCCTTCTGTTAAAATCAATGTTAAGTGCTACAGTGTATTGTGTGTTGCTCCTCGTTGCAATCAACTTCAGCTTTTTTTATTGATTTTTACAGGCTGGCCCAACTCCAAGCCAGATCAATTATCCACTATCACCACAACAGAAAGTTGCTGTGATGAGAAACATTGAGAGAATGCTGGGAGAAGCTTTAGGAGATCATAATCAGGTATGATAGGATATGTGCTAAACAAAATTAGTTTTTTATCCAAGTCCAAAATTGTGCCTTGATGATCACAAATACAAGCTGGTATGACCAACCTTTGCAGGCCTGTCCTGGTGTCCCTATTTTTGAGGGCTATGTGGAGAGCTGGGAAAAAAAAAATTAACCATCATGCAACTGTTTGATGTTTTCACAAAGAGCTTTAGACCACAAAGTGACTTTCTGATTTTCTTCAAGAAACTTGGAATAATAACAATAGGTCAACCAAAAAGAAAGTACTTTCAGAATTTGTTCTCTGGCAGCTGAAAAAGTTTCTTTGGTTTTATTTGCTGCATGCATTATTAAGTTAGTTGAGAACCGTGTTGCATACTTACTTTCTAGGTACTTGGTGCAATGCACTTTTTTTTCGTTTTTGGGCCTTTAAATTGGAGGCAGTTTCATCGCTGTAATGGCACATGTATGAAATACTGACAGCAGATTTGTATTAGGCTCAAATTTATAACATATACAGTATATGTACAGAATTGTAGGTGCGAGGTTGTGGACCTCATCATGTACAGTAGATGTTGTGGTTCAATTTTATCCTTGGTTCAAATTTATTTTCTTTTGTTTTTGGGTATTGTAATGCATGATAATGAGTTTGGAACAGAGGGAAATAAAATTTGAACCAAGAATGAAATTGAACCTCAACATAGATTAACCTATTACCTTATCTTACTTGAAACAATGGCATGTCATAAAGTACATTTCTTAACAAGCCTTATTCTCTGAGCACAAGTTTAATACAAATGCAGATCAAATTTCTTAAAAAGAAGTTTTTGTAAAAATATTAATTAACTCGGCAAGTTCTATGAAGCAATTACGGTCGAAATAATGTCTAACACAGTATTGGCTGCCTACCTTTTCAGCAAAACAATTTTTTTTTGGGGGGGGGGGAAGGGAGTGCAGAGGTCATTATCAATATTCAGAACTTCCCTGTTTGAATTGTATATTTTTGCAGATTGGTCCACTTTTGAATTGCATCATAAATGGACGTTATACGGAAACAAATGAAGATGTAGAGGAGAATTATACAGAGACCAGCACTTGATAAATCACTCTTTCTCCATGAAAATCAAACTTTAGACATGCAGGTTAGACGTAGCCATATATGAAGCCAGATTTTCAAGTTAAAGTTCCCTCCTATTCCTAAATGACTGACACATGATGAGCTTTGGTGATTAAATTAATACTAGAAATGTATTTACCGTTGTTTGCCTTTTGATCAAGTGTACATGATAGAGTAGACTGAAATTGTCCTTGTATATTTTTATCGTCAATGCAGAAAATAACAAACTGTAAAACCATTTAGATGGTTACAGTAAACTTTCATGAAGTGAAAGATATCTCTCGTTAGAGCGCTTTTCGATTGAGTGTGATAAACCAAAACCAAACTAATCACAATCGCCAATCGTAAGATAGGAAAATAGATTTGAGAGTCGGTGAGTTCGCAAAGTAAAAATAACTAAACTGCCTAAAGCGCGGGAAAACGCGGCTGAGCAGGTCGGAATTAGTTTGAGTTTTTATCTGATTGGTTGGGAGAGGGGCGCGAGTTTTTCTGGACCAATCACAGATCGAAGTAAAGCAAAAACGAGGCAATCCCGGATGACTTTCGACACTCAGTTGAAAATTGCTATATTTAATTAATTTAAGGGATTGAGGTTTCGTTTGCTTATGATCAGGAAATCAGTAAGCAAACATCCTTGCCTTTTGAAATGTGTCTAAGACAATTAGATTACTTAAAAAAAGTGTTGTTTTACAACTAAAAAAGAAATATATAGAAAATTAGATTAAGGAATAATAAGATTATGATTGCATTATATTAAAATATCGTTATGGATACATGACATAACGGCTGTTTATGTCTGCCGCATGTGATGTGAAATCTTTTAGAGAAATGTAAGACTATGAATTCGTTACTGCTAGAAAATAGTGATAGGAAGTAGAAATAGCTCAAGGCGAATTTAGCACCATCAAATGGAATTGTCAGGAAGTGATCGTCTTTAATTTGTCGATATTTGTTGCTCTTCAGGGATTACCCATAGTGATAGTGAAACGTGTCGCTGTAATGCCTGTGGACGATTCTTTTAATTAAGTATACTTGGTAATAAAGTATATATGTCGATTCGAAGTGATTTTTTTTTGTCGCACACTTTCGTTCTGCTTTTATTTATCATTACGTTTTCGTTTATTTCTTGTTTTTCTCTTTCTTCACATAATTTTATGATTTCTTACCTCTTTCCTTTTTTTTTTTAATGCGTCAAAACCTTTAAGTCTTTCTTTTTCGCTAGATATTTTTAGAGTATCCATGATTTTCTATTACCAGCGGTACCCGTCAATAAAAGTGGGGACAATTCTTATGTTTTTCTAGGCTAAGAGACCTAATTAACATTTACTATTGACTCAGGAAAACGTTCAGCCCTTATGTGTTTAGACGATAGCTATGTCCAACAAACAACGAAAATATGTTTTTATTCCTACTTCCTCCCCCGAATGTAACAACGAATGTAATGGGATAATGGAAGCTATAGGTCACTAAGTTACCTCATGCCGTTGGAGATGCGCCATTTTATTAGACCATGAACTCTACCGATTTTTTGCGGCAGTAGAGAGCAGCTCCACATGCCAATTGTGCCACAAATCACTCATGATTAAAGAGAAAAACGAACAATGAAAAATTGAAGTGCAATTAAAGAGTTGTGTATTCAGTGCATTCACATTTTATGAAAGTTGTCCTGTGCGCCGATCATTAGACCGCGTCTAGTTGCTAAGTATCGTCAATACCGCCAATTTTCCTTTCCGGATTCGCCAATAGCGTGGACAAATAAAAGAACTGTAACTAGAGCGTTTATTTGTTTTGTCGCCCTGTTTTCGGCTGATTGTTTTTCAGTGTGTACAGTGAGGAAAGAGAAAACAATGGCAGCTTGCTCAAATCAATTAGAGTCCTAGGTCAGTGTTTATTAACAGTTCACACTCGTAGTAAGAAAGCTTTCCTGTTCACCTGTCACTCTTATCTTTGATTACGCGAGTTTCTCATTTACATAACAACTGCAAAGAATTCATTGGAGCAGGGGAACGGAAAACGTTCAGAATGAAGACGGGCAGCAAACTCAAACATGCCGACTTTTGGGCGAAGAATGCCTTGGGCTGGTTTGAGGAAACTGAAGGTGGGGAATTGTGAAGATCAGCTATGGGGAGCGCAGCGAGTTTGAACCAGTCTTACAGCGGGGCGAACGAGCAAAATGGGAAATTACAACAGAGTGCTGCCACCAAAACCAACTCAACAACTCAACTCAAACGAGAACTGAAAGAAAAAGATGACTTTTTGCAGCGAAAAGACGCCGAATTACAACATCGGCAGCGCATTATTGAAGAGAAGGATGCCGAGTTGGCCAAACTGAGGAAGGAAATACACGAATTGAAATGTGTCGTCCAGCAAACTACATCCAAGACAAGTATTTTGTCTACTATTCAAGAAGACAGCATCAAGGGCGGAAGTTTCAAACCACGAAAAGCGATGAGATCCAGCCGAAAGGAGAAGAGAATGGCTGTGAGTGGAGAGAGTAGTTCAAAGGCAGAAGAGGACACAGAGAAAGAACTGGAGCGGCATCCCAAGGACTTTCGGTGAGTGTTGCTGTTGTTATCGGTTTATTAATCATCCAGAGCAATTTATTTGATTTAAGTGTTTGTTTTTCTCACTTTCTTGGGCCAGAATTGAAAAGGAAATTCTGCGAGGTAACAGCAAACGGTGAAATGCTTTTTAACTGTCAAAGATTCATCGAGCGAACTGCACATCGACTCGAAGCAAACAGAGAGGTTTGCTGTCAAATTCGATAGAACATCGCTGTGTTTTACCCCATTCACCTGGTTTTTCTTAAATCAACATGTTTCCGAATAAGCTGTTTTATTTTAACATTCGGATATCCTGTCCTCGGATGTGTTTACTTTCGGGTAAAATTCGTCTTGGTTTTGCTCTCGATGTAAATTCAGAACGTCTCTGAATGTGTCTTTATCGGTGAATGCCAAAAAATTCATTACTGAAGGTTTATTTGATCTTTTTCCCTAGTGATCAAACTATGCGCTTAATGCTGTCAAGATTTTTTTTTCAAAACAACCTTGGTTACTCGCAAAAACAAGATTGGGAAGAATTTTGAAATTTTATTTTCCTTCGACCTGCCGCAATATTTCGCTGTAATGATTACAAATTCAAAAAGAGAACTTATCGTTACAGACTCATTACCATCCCAATTTATTTTCTACGTTGTTTTAATGTGTCGTGAAGTTGTGACTAATTGACTTAAATTTTGACATGCCTCTAGGATTAGTTCATTTGTTGACCCTTATCTGCATAACTACTAGGAAATAACGAATTTGTCCAAGAATATTTTGAAGACACTTAGTTGAAAACGTTTTATTTTAGCTACAATGATCTTCAGATCTGACAACGGTGGCAAATTTTGTTTATCTTCCTCCGAGAGGAACATAATTTTAATTTTAGTAGTTTTTTGATTATATGTTATTTAACTTCTATATGCTTGCCGTTTAATGAAATCGAAGATCCCTCCGTACTGCGTTCGTATTTCATATAGCCATAGTTTCAACAGTATCAATGCCTCAAACCGTTTCTCTTATTCATCGAAGTTTTTTTTTCGCTAAAATAATTATATTACAATACTCTAAGTGCTCCTACACTAAGTGCCATATTTTCAGACGTGTGCATTCCGAACCGGAACAAGTCCAGATGGAAGAGTGTGTTCTGTATTGTTGTTAAGATATTTCTTCTTTAGAGCACAGCTTCACTTTAAAACAAATGATCGACGTTAAATTGCGCTATAAATTATTTTTTCTCCCCTGTTATAAACATTTCCTATGTCTTTCTCTCCCTTAAGACTGGTGGGGGCTAGTAGCCACCGCGCGCAATGCGATCGCGGCGAAGTCATTGTTTGTGAGTTTAGCCTAAATTTTAAGTGCCATTTTTTCAGACGTGTGCATTCCGAACCGGAACAAGTCCAGATGGAAGAGTGTGTTCTGCATTGTTGTTAAGATATTTCTTCTTTAGAGCACAGCTTCACTTTAAAACAAATGATCGACGTTAAATTGCGCTATAAATTATTTTTTCTCCCCTGTTATAAACATTTCCTATGTCTTTCTCTCCCTTAAGACTGGTGGGGGCTAGTAGCCACCGCGCGCAATGCGATCGCGGCGAAGTCATTGTTTGTGAGTTTAGCCTAAATTTTAATTGTCATGTTCGTCATTGTGCGATTCTATTGAATATCCTCTCTCCTTGGTTAGCCTTGCTCGATATTGCTTTATTATTGCCTCTTTTGTGTTTCACTGTCTGACCTTACCGGCTGATATTTTTCAGTCTTCAAGGAGTTAAAAGTCGTTTTATTCCGTGCAAAAAAAAAAAGACTTTTCAACATCATGAAGTAGGTCGGTCAATCCTTTTAAAAAACAAACAAATTTTATGCATCTTTAGTAGTGCTCAGATTGCTACATATGTATATTAAGGTATCTCTTTTATAACTTATGCTAAATTCGCCTTCCTCTTTTTGATGTTAGGTCTAAGCAACTCATTAAAGACGCAATCAATGAAAATGATTTCTTGAAGAACCTTGAATCGGCTCAAGTTCGTGAGATAGTGGACTGCATGTACCCCAAGAACTACAGCAGGGATGATATGATTGTAAAGGAGGGAGATACTGGGCAGGCTTTGTTTGTTATCGCAGGTGAGATACGACGTCTGGAGTTAAATATATGACGAAAAATGCAATTCAGTTGTCAAGGGGTCAGTCGTTCAATTTATAACTTCTGCGAAATATGAATTAAACACATGGCTAATCGTGGGCTCCAACGTCAAAATTGAAAAATAGGAAAAGCGCATCAACTCGCACTAATAACTGTACATCAACCTCCGACATGTAAAGCGGCGCTTGATCATTCAATCCGATCGAAAGACGCAGATGAAGAACACGTTCTGCCGAAAGGAAACAGGTTGAACGATTTGGGGGGAAGTGGTAAAGGTTGGGGCGAATTTGTTTTAATTAGTTAGTGTCTGAACTCGCAAAGGTGGAAGGAGGCGAACTTCCAATGGGACGAAACCTCCAGATACCATAATATAGCGGTCGAAACGTCGCAGTCTACTTATTATACTGAAAAACGTTTAATTTCAATAGGATAAATTAGCAGGTTGTTGGTTTCAAAATGTGTGACGTTAACATGTGTAGCTACTGAACCCTTTGCTTTTGGGAAATCCGAATATATTTTAGTTTAAGATTGTTTATGTTTTTAGGTGAGAAAAACATTAAATTTTCACCTCCTCTCCCGGCCTGTCATAACTATGATCGCCACAGTCAAAGGGAACCTGCTCTTTGATGGGATTTGTCGACTGAAATCAGTAGACATTAAGATAGTTAGAATATTTTCTTTAGAGTAATCCCTGTTTTTACAGAGGGCCGCCTTGAGGTGACCAAGGATGGAGAAGTTTTAGGTGAAATGAATGGTGGAACTGTGTTCGGCGAGTTGGCCATCCTGTACAACTGTAAACGTACTGCTTCTGTTAAAGGTAAACAAACAGTTAACTTAAACGTTCCTTTCCGTGTACAAAACATTTTTTTCTTGACTGTCCAAATCTCAATTTTCTCAACGAAAATTCATCCAGATGGTATGAGTAATGATGATTGAACTGAGTAGGGTGCAATTTTCTGAGCTTTGTCTGAAGCTTCACAGTTAGAGGGGTCCTTGAAATTGCAAGATTTACGTTCATCTATTAAAATGCATTCAGTTCGTAAAGTATCCATTAACCAAATCTTGGCGAATCTTACTACAACAGCTTTAGAAAGCGCCAAACTGTGGATCATCGACCGTCGCGTTTTTCAGACGATAATGATGAGAACAGGAATGATGAGACAAGCTGAGCATATCGCGTTCCTTAAAAGGTACGAAAAACGCAGACCTATATTTCGAGCGTGGATTTTTATCTAGTGTTCATTATTTTTACGTCACAACTGTCAGTTAGGAATGAGTTTGTGATTTTCTTTATTGGTACACAGATCTCAGGATAAAAGCAATTCTGTTCCCATTCGTGGCTTTTCTAAATACTGGCTTTATCGATTTCTTCAACATATAAGT